TCATCATGGTTAGACTTAATAGTATCAAGAATGTGTTCCTAGGAATAACAATTTTCCAATTTAATCTACTATCCAGATTTAATTTATTCTTACAAAATTTATACCATGTGTGGTCCTCAACCCTGAAATTCCTATATCTAGAAGAGACTCACTAGGCTTTTGTTTGCGAATGCGCAGCTCATGCTCCAAACAGCTATCATAGTCCGGCCTATCAAAACGTCTAAGCAAGGCAGCCCTAAGCTCAACCCACGAAGAGATCTTCCTACGAATAGTCCTAAACCACTTGGCAGCAGTACCAGCAAGCAGATCAGCAAACGAACCAATCAACACGGCCTCATGAAAGTTCCTGAATACAAAGTAATCCTCAACACGAGTGATAAATTCTCTAACACAGGTCTTACCGTCAAAGATTATCTTGCTCCTAGTTAAATCAGGCAGCTTCGTAGTATAGGCAGGCATATTTCTCCTAACGTGTTCATTCATGCTGTTGAACGAAGGCAGACTTGGTGCAAGAGCAGGAGTATCACGAACATATGACAAGTCCAATGGGACGCTCATCTCCGCTGACTCATCCGCAGCTGTGCCAACATCCACATTGGCAGGCGACGTTGAAGGTGGAGCCTCCTTGTCCATATTACAAACCGACATGTAACGGTGCATTTCGCGCCATTACAGTAATTTGAACCTTTGTCTCGTTTTTGTTTTGTTAGATTGAATTTTTTGTCGTTTCTGCGAGTGCCGATGGTCGAGGGACGGACGAGAGTATTAATCGATGTTGTTCGCCCGCAGTAGTTAGTCGATTTATTTTTCTTGTACTGGCAACATTTTTGTTTCCCCGCTCTATAGAGCGACAGGCTATTGCACTGGTATCACTTTTTTCACTCTTGGCGTCGGTCCAGGACGAAGCAGTTTGGATTTTTTAAAATGTAGACTTTTTGTTGTAATTTATGTCTTACGAGGGCTTATTTCTTACTTTTATTTTTCGGCCAACCTCGTTAAGAATCAAATTATTGATTGAGTTTTTATTTTCGTAAAAAAGGTGAGTTTTGTTCGGCCACGTGCTTCACGCTTGGCTTGGCGGAATTTGTGGTTTTAACTCTTTGTTTAATTGGTTACAGGCAATGCTTATAATGCTTATAATGCCGCTGCTTGATTTGTGAAGCATTTTAGAACCCTGGTAAGTGAAATATGATCTCTTGTCAGAGTTATGATTCGTACTGTGAGATAGGCTTTTAACCTATGATTTTTCCTTATTTGCAGATGAATCAGGGTTTCTTTTCTTTTTTAGCTTATATCTAAAGTCTTTACATCACCTAAATTATTTTACTTTCTTATTGGAATGTCCTTGAGTGGCATTCGATTTTAGTCTCTCGCCGGAGTTTGACCCCAAGAAATTAGATTGCTGTGGAGCACCGGATTGGTAGAAAAAGCTGCTTAGCTGCACGCCATTGTCTGGAGCCGGGGAGTGCTAACCCGCCTTTAACACCACGTGGGAACCGGAGTGAGAAGTTTCGGAGTTGGTTTGATTTCATTTCGTTCGGACTGATCCAAGGTCATCGGTATGTAGTTTTGTTATATTTTTCTTGGCGACGTGGCATTGAATACTGTAGGTCCCCAAGGGGTGTTATTTTTATTAGAGAGTAGGTCAATGCTATGTCTACCTTTAGAGTTTATTGTTTTGTCTATTAAGTCTTTATGCGACTCTTTAAAATTTATTTAACCTTATATTTTTCTTATTGGAAAGGATTGCATTAATGACAGTACTAATTTGTGTATGAGAATTACCTATTGTAATTAGAGACATAAGACACATTGTACTCTGCAGACACTACGGGATAATAAACTGCCAATAGAACTTAACATCTTGTATTCATTAGCTGTCCTCCCGCTTTGTTTTAAAAAGGTTCGGTGCTGGCTGAGATGTCCGAGGTATTAGTTGTGTTTGTGGTGGGTTCTGTGTTCTTTTAAGGTGGTATCTGGCGCCCGAGACTTTTATTTTGTTATTTTGTTTCTATTTGATGCCACCAATTTTAGTTTTATTTCTTATAACACACCCCACAACATAAATTTCAATTTTTTAATTTTTTATTATTACAATTGGCGCCCGAACAGGGACTGAAGTAGTGTCTGTAGGTTAATTAGATAACTGATTAGATACTGTCTTTACTGCATCCTATATTTTTCTTACATACCTTGTGTATTTTATAATTGTATTATCATTAAGTGAGGTTATTTTTACAATTTTTCAATAATAGTTTAAAACATTGTGACTTTCCTTTACAATGTTATTTTTGCTTTAACAAACAACAATAATTTAAGTTATACTGCTGCCTGTTGTATTCTCAATTAAGGGTATAGTTACTGAAGCATTTTGTGTTACAATTTAATAGCTTTGAATGTTAATTGTAAGTCTGCTCAAGAAACATTTTATAGATACCTCCGCTTTGGAATTATTATAATATAACTTATTGTAATTAAGATTAACTTAACTTAGCTTAGCCTTGCTGTTATTATTTAGTTACTAGAACAATTGTTAGTGGTTACTGCAATCCTTAAATCCTTTTTAATACAGAACTTAGATATTTAAATTAAAACTTAGCTTTTTTACTTCACTTTCAAATCAATTTAGACTTTTCTTTACAATATTCAACTTTTAAATAATTTGAACCTGGTTGTTTACAACATTTAACTCTTAAATAAATTTAAACTTATCCTTTCATAAGATTTATCTTTTAAATAATTTAAACTTAGGTTTTCACAACAGTGACTTTTGAATAAATTTAAACTTAATTAATTTTAAAAAAAAAACTTAACCTTTGAACGGCTGTTTTGGAATTGTGTGGTTAATGTCGGTTTGTAATATGGACAAGGAGGCTCCACCTTCAACGTCGCCTGCCAATGTGGATGTTGGCACAGCTGCGGATGAGTCAGCGGAGATGAGCGTCCCATTGGACTTGTCATATGTTCGTGATACTCCTGCTCTTGCACCAAGTCTGCCTTCGTTCAACAGCATGAATGAACACGTTAGGAGGAATATGCCTGCCTATACTACGAAGCTGCCTGATTTGACTAGGAGCAAGATAATCTTTGACGGTAAGACCTGTGTTAGAGAATTTATCGCTCGTGTTGAGGATTACTTTGTATTCAGGAACTTTCATGAGGCCGTGTTGATTGGTTCGTTTGCTGGTCTGCTTGCTGGTACTGCTGCCAAGTGGTTTGGGACTATTCGTTAATTGTCAAAACTTCTCTTCTTGATATAGGAATTTCAGGGTTGAGGACCACACATTGTATAAATTTTATAAGAATAAATTAAATCTGGATAGTAGATTAAATTGGAAAATTGTTATTCCTAAGGAACATATTTTGGATACTATTAAGTCAAACCATGATGATATTAATTCTGGTCATCTTGGGATTCATAAAACTATTAAGAAATTAAAACAACATTATGTTTGGAACGGTATGTTTAATGATGTTCAAAATTACATTAGATCTTGTGACACATGTAAAGCCTTAAGCACAGCACCTCACATAAATATATTCTTTCAGTTGTAGATGTTTTCACAAAATTTTGCTGGGTTTTTCCATTAGAAAAAGCAACCACCTTATCCGTTTGTAGAATCCTTGAAAAAGAGATATTTTTTAAATTTGGTTGTCCTAAATTAATAGTTTGTGATAATGGTACTCAATTCACTTCTAAACATTTTGTAGATTTCATGAGAGGTTACAACATTACTAAATTTTTATAACACATTGTACACACCTCAGAGTAACCCGGTGGAGAGGTACAGTAGGACGGTAGGGACTTGTATTTCATGTTTTGTTAAAGATTGGATTTTGTTGGTTTGTTCTTGCTTTAAATTTTGACCTCACATTTAGTTAGCTTTTATTGGAAGTGTAAATTTGGTTATTGGTTTTACACTTAATTTTCTTATGTTTGGTTGAGAGTTGTTGATGCTTCTCTGCACCATTTTGGTAATTCTTTGTTAGTTTAGACCAACTTGAGTTTGTTAAAGGGATTTTTGTGCCCTTTCTTTTGGATCACTTAGTGATATTTTTTTGTTAGAGTTGAGTCAGATTTGTTATAAGCGCATTGCTTTATATTAAAATTATTATATTATTTGTTGCTATTATATATTAAAATTGTTAATATTATTTGTTACTATTTCTATTTCTTTTGATGTGGGTGATATTGTTTGGAGAAGAAGTTTTGTTCAGTCTAATGCTCCAGCTTATTTTTCGGCAAAGCTTGCACCTAAGTTTATTAAATGTAAAATTATAGAAAAGATTTCAGATAATGTTTACCTTTTGCAGGACCTTTCAAAGAACACCTCTGGTCGCTATCATATTAAAGATATTATTAAATATTAAAATTTCACTATTTGGTCATTAACTTTTGGGTCTTATTTTGATGTATTTGTTGGATTCCGCATTTGTGTGAGGAAGTATGTAAATGGATGTATGCTAGATTATGGGCCTTTTGTAAGTTGATGTAGTGTAAGGTATTCTTACCGATATATTAATTTTAGGGTTCAAGAGTTCAAAAGTCTACTTAGGTCTTTTTGGTTTATTAAGTTAGGAACTTCATTCATATAGGAACCACATCAAAGGAATATTTTGTTTGTATTTTGTTTGCACTTCTACCTAGTGTAGAGTGTTTTGTTGGAGTTAGGTTCGCCCTTTTTTCAAGGGTTGAACGGGGTGTTTGTTGGATTCACACTTTTTTTCAGGTGTTGAATGTTTTGTTTCTTGTTGGATTCACTCTTTTTTAGGTGATGATTGGTTTGTTGGTGGGATTCACGTTTTTAAGCGTTGAATATTTTTGTTTGCTTTCTGTTGTATTGTGCCCGGTAGTTCGGTGGTGTTGTGCCGATCACAATACACAGGTTTTTTATATTCACACCGTCTTGTTGTGTTGAATATTTTTGTTTGGTTTCTGTTGCATTGTGCCCGGTAGTTCGGTGGGGTTGAGCCGATCACAATGCACAGGTTTTATATATTCACACCGCTTTGTTGTGCTGAATATTTTTGTTTGGTTTCTGTTGTATTGTGCCCGGTAGTTCGGTGGAGTTGTGCCGATCACAATACACAGGTTTTTTATATATTCTCACCGCCTTGTTGTGATGAATATTTTGGTTTGGTTTCTGTTGCATTGTGCCCGGTAGTTCGGTGGAGTTGAGCCGATCACAATGCACAGGTTTTTTATATATTCTCCCCGCCTTGTTGGGAGGAATATTTTGTTTGGTTCGACATGTTTGACATGTGTTAGGGTGAAGCATTTTGTAACTCCATTAGAGTCGGTGACGAAGGTGTCCAACCGCACTTCTTGGAATTTGATATCTTTGAGATATGCATTTCCTGATGGATGTTGTTTTGTTTTGTGTAGTTCGTAACTCCATTAGAGTCGGTGACGAAGGTGTCCAACCGCACTTCTTGGATATTGATATCTTTTAAGATACAATTCCTAATGGATGTTGTTTGTGAAGTTTACTTTGATGTTTTTTGTGAAGTTTACTTTGTTGTTGTTAGTGTATTTTGTTGTAGTTTGCAGCTCCATTAGAGTCGGTGACGAGGGTGTCCAACCGCACTTCGTGGAAGCTGGTATCTTTTTAGATGTACAGTTCCCAATGGAAGCAGTTTGTGTTGTATATTTTGTTGTGTTTGTAGCTCCATTAGAGTCGGTGACGAGGGTGTCCAACCGCACTTTTTGGACTTTCCAGTCCTAATGGTAGCTTGGTGTAGGGATTTGTTTTGGGATTTGTGTGTTTTTGTTGTAGAGTATATTTTGATCTTATATTTAGTTTCCTAATCCTTTTTGGCGTATGGATTTTTGTATTCCTGGAGTTTGTAGAGTTTTAGTAGAGTTTTTGGTAGAGTCAGTTTTGGAGTTTAGTTATTTTGCAATCTTTTTGTTTGATATGTTGTTGAGTAGTGACTTTTCAGCATAAAAGAAAGAGTCCTTTCTTTTATTTTTTTTTCGGGAAGGTATGTAATGTAACGGTGCATTTCGCGCCATTACAGTAATTTGAACCTTTGTCTCGTTTTTGTTTTGTTAGATTGAATTTTTTGTCGTTTCTGCGAGTGCCGATGGTCGAGGGACGGACGAGAGTATTAATCGATGTTGTTCGCCCGCAGTAGTTAGTCGATTTATTTTTCTTGTACTGGCAACATTTTTGTTTCCCCGCTCTATAGAGCGACAGGCTATTGCACTGGTATCACTTTTTTCACTCTTGGCGTCGGTCCAGGACGAAGCAGTTTGGATTTTTTAAAATGTAGACTTTTTGTTGTAATTTATGTCTTACGAGGGCTTATTTCTTACTTTTATTTTTCGGCCAACCTCGTTAAGAATCAAATTATTGATTGAGTTTTTATTTTCGTAAAAAAGGTGAGTTTTGTTCGGCCACGTGCTTCACGCTTGGCTTGGCGGAATTTGTGGTTTTAACTCTTTGTTTAATTGGTTACAGGCAATGCTTATAATGCTTATAATGCCGCTGCTTGATTTGTGAAGCATTTTAGAACCCTGGTAAGTGAAATATGATCTCTTGTCAGAGTTATGATTCGTACTGTGAGATAGGCTTTTAACCTATGATTTTTCCTTATTTGCAGATGAATCAGGGTTTCTTTCTTTTTTAGCTTATATCTAAAGTCTTTACATCACCTAAATTATTTTACTTTCTTATTGGAATGTCCTTGAGTGGCATTCGATTTTAGTCTCTCGCCGGAGTTTGACCCCAAGAAATTAGATTGCTGTGGAGCACCGGATTGGTAGAAAAAGCTGCTTAGCTGCACGCCATTGTCTGGAGCCGGGGAGTGCTAACCCGCCTTTAACACCACGTGGGAACCGGAGTGAGAAGTTTCGGAGTTGGTTTGATTTCATTTCGTTCGGACTGATCCAAGGTCATCGGTATGTAGTTTTGTTATATTTTTCTTGGCGACGTGGCATTGAATACTGTAGGTCCCCAAGGGGTGTTATTTTTATTAGAGAGTAGGTCAATGCTATGTCTACCTTTAGAGTTTATTGTTTTGTCTATTAAGTCTTTATGCGACTCTTTAAAATTTATTTAACCTTATATTTTTCTTATTGGAAAGGATTGCATTAATGACAGTACTAATTTGTGTATGAGAATTACCTATTGTAATTAGAGACATAAGACACATTGTACTCTGCAGACACTACGGGATAATAAACTGCCAATAGAACTTAACATCTTGTATTCATTAGCTGTCCTCCCGCTTTGTTTTAAAAAGGTTCGGTGCTGGCTGAGATGTCCGAGGTATTAGTTGTGTTTGTGGTGGGTTCTGTGTTCTTTTAAGGTGGTATCTGGCGCCCGAGACTTTTATTTTGTTATTTTGTTTCTATTTGATGCCACCAATTTTAGTTTTATTTCTTATAACACACCCCACAACATAAATTTCAATTTTTTAATTTTTTATTATTACAGACATTAACCACACAATTCCAAAACAGCCGTTCAAAGGTTAAGTTTTTTAAAATTAATTAAGTTTAAATTTATTCAAAAGTCACTGTTGTGAAAACCCTAGGTTTAAATTATTTAAAAGTTAAATCTTATGAAAGGATAAGTTTAAATTTATTTAAGAGTTAAATGTTGTAAACAACCAGGTTCAGATTTATTTAAAAGTTGAATATTGTAAAGAAAAGTCTAAATTGATTTGAAAGTGTAGTGAAAAAACTAAGTTTTAATTTAAATAACTAAGTTCTGTATTAAAAAGGATTTAAGGATTGCAGTAACCACTAACAATTGTTCTAGTAACTAAATAATAACAGTAAGGTTAAGCTAAGTTAAGTTAATCTCAATTTACAATAAGTTATATTATAATAATTCCAAAGCGGAGGTATCTATAAAATGTTTCTTGAGCAGACTTACAATTAACATTCAAAGCTATTAAATTGTAACACAAAATGTTTCAGTAACTATACCCTTAATTGAGAATACAATAGGCAGCAGTATAACTTAAATTATTGTTGTTTGTTAAAGCAAAAATAACATTGTAATGAAAAGTCACAATGTTGTAAACTAATATTGAAAAATTGTAAAAATAACCTCACTTAAAGATAATACAATTATAAAATACACAAGGTATGTAAGAAAAATATAGGATGCAGTAAAGACAGTATCTAATCAGTTATCCAATTAACCTACAGACACTACTTCAGTCCCTGAGCGCTGGCGACAATTGTAATAATAAAAAATTAAAAAATTTAAATTGTGTGTAATGGGTTTGTTATAAAGAAAAAAACTAAAATTGGTGGCATCAAATAGAAACAAAATAACAAAATAAAAGTCTCGGGCGCCAGATACCACCTTAAAAGAACACAGAACCCACCACAAACACAACAAATACCTCGGACATCTCAGCCAGCGTTGAACCTTTTTAAAACAAAGCGGGAGGACAGCTAATGAATACAAGATGTTAAGTTCTATTGGCAGTTTATTATCCCGTAGTGTCTGTAGAGTACAATGTGTCTTATGTCTCTAATTACATTAGGTAAATCTTATACACAAATTAGTACTGTCATTAATGCAATCCTTTCCAATAAGAAAAATATAAGGTTAATTAAATTTTAAAGAGTCACATAAAGACTAAATAGACAAAACAGTAGACTCTAAAGGTAGACATAGCATTGACCTACTCTCTAATAAAAAATAACACCCCTTGGGGACCTGCAGTGTTCAATGCCACGTCGCCAAGAAAAATATAACAAAACTACATACCACAAAACAATGACCTTGGACCAGTCCGAATGACATGAAATCAAACCAACTCCGAAACTTCTCACTCCGGCTCCCACGTGGTGGAAGAGGCGGGTCAGCACTCCCAGGCTCCAGACCATGGCGTACAGCTAAGCAGCTTTTCCTACCATTCTGGCGCTCCACAGCAAACTAATTTCTTGGGGTTAAACTCCGGCGAGAGACAAAAATCCGAATGCCACGCAAGGACATTCCAATAAGAAAGTAAATAAATTTAGGTATTGTAAAGACTTTAGATATAAGCTAAAAAAGAAAAGAACCCTGATTCATCAGGGTTCTAAAATGCTTCACAAATCAAGCAGCGGCATTATAAGCATTATAAGCATTGCCTTTTTTAACGAAAATAAAAACTCAATCAATAATTTGATTCTTAACGAGGTTGGCCGAAAAATAAAAGTAAGAAATAAGCCCTCGTAAGAAATAAATTACAACAAAAAGTCTACATTTTAAAAGAATCCAAACTGCTTCGTGCCGGTCCGACGCCAAAAGTGAAAAAAGTGATACCAGTGCAATAACCTCTCGCTTCATAGAGCGGGGAAACAAAAATGTTGCCAGGACAGGAAAAATAAATCGACTAACTACTGCGGGCGAACAACATCGATTATTACTCTCGTCCGCCCCTCGACCATCGGCACACGCAGAAACGACAAAAAATTCAACCTAACAAAACAAAAACGAGACTAAGGTTCAAATTACTGTAATGGTGCGAAATGCACCGTTACAACTTCAAAGATAGAATGATAAAATACTTGAGGCCAGGAAATCGGGGAAAAACCTACCCTACATACACACCAGCTCACAATAGTCTTTGAATAGCATTGTTTATCTGAACACCGATCAACTGAATGTCTACTTATCAGAAGTTCCTACTAGCCTTGCCAGATTTGTGCATGTTTACTTCCACAAATTGCACCGGCAGGCATTTATAAGCCTTAAATACAGGCAGTAGTAGAACTGATCAAACTGGTCAGCTGATCGGCTAAATCAATATTGTTTGTTTGTCTGACAAAAGGGTTTTCTAAACGTACTAACGTAGTCGTAATAAGGTATTCACTTAATTCAAGACTCCCTCATTACGTTAAGTTTAATAACATTAACATTGGAATAGTTTATAAAAAATCATTTCTAAATTATAAAAAAAATATTTGTGTCAATGCAGATAATCAGCTCTACATTTAATATTTAAAACATGATGTAAATTTCAACATAAAATAGATGCTTTAAGGTGTCTTAGTGACAAATCTTATTTACAATGGCTACAAAAAGAAGGCAGTTTTCAGTATAGCTTTGTGAATTTTTTTATGTTTATAATTTTAGAGCTCCGTCATTTATGAACCTATTTGGAAAATTATAATTCTACATTTATTGGAAAGGGTACTGTACCCCGTTAGATCCATTCTTGAACAAAAAGAATTACTAGAGGTGGAAAATTAATGAATGAAGTATACAGTTTATTACAATTCTTAACAATAAAAGCGTCGAAATTTTTTATGAGTTTATTTATGTTAAATAATAATGTTTTTCTAAGTATGTGAGGAATGTATTTACTCACACGCACTGCATCTAGGACTTTTTCAAACTTTTTCAACTGAGAACTCATTGAAAACCGTAAATCTGGCGTAAACCCATTCTTAAAAGGAGCATTTTTATACGATTTGTACAAAAATGAGGACATAGTTGACACTTGTATTTATTTCATTAAAAAAATCCACTATTTCACATTCTAACTATTACACCTTAATAATATTATTTCTTATGTATATTAGAACATTTCTAAGCCATACACAGCTAATAACTAGCAAGAGTTTATATAAAAAACACGAAATACGACATTGAGACCGAACTAAACTATGTCGATTATTTTGGCTACATTCGTCGTCACTGCGTCATGCAAAACGTGCGGGAAACTCGCATAACGTTAAAAATAAATTATAGTACTTACCTGATCTCGTGATCTGTCCCTGGTTAGGTGTTACGGGAATTAAAACAGCATTATGCGTCAAATCTTCAATGGATAGACCCGTCACGGCAGTCGACAGAAGAGGATTTTTTACTATGTTCTTATTGGCGTAATCACCGAAACTTTTATCCGACATATTGTATGTATATTATTGACCGGCACATGAGAAAATTTTCACGTTTTCACACATTTGGAGGTCATAAATAGGTAATTTAATTATATAAAGTTACGTGTCACTTGCATATTTTGACAATTTGACAGATGACAACACGTTGATATTAAATTTGTTTGGCAGATTTTGTATTTTTATTTTTGTAGTACAACTTTTTTTCTCACCTTTTTATTTAGCGGAATAAAAGATGGCTATGCTAGAAATTCTATTTAACAAGTTATTTTTAAATTTTCTAAATGAATTTAAATAATTTTACCAATAAATTTACAATTAATGCATTACAAACAAAAGAAAACCTAAAAACTAGCCAGTACCAGGTTTACATCATAATTTTTTAGGTTTACATTATGGAACACATCTTAAAGTATTATTTATATTTAATAAAACATATTTTAATCTGCTTACAGCTATTGTCGTCATTCCGACTCCTGCTATAGAGTATACTGTGAAAACAGTCACGATAGAGAACTACAACTTTATATTGGGATTATACCACTCATAGAAGAAAATGACTAATACTTTGGACTTTCAATCGTTTACATCATTCACACTTCACAAAAAATATATTCGACAGCAGTACAGTATATACCGGATAGTAGACAATCATGATGAGTTAACTAAAATCACTGGAACGGAACGTAACTTAAAATCCAAACCTTCGTTATCTGTGGTGTCTACTGACAAACAAGACAACTCCTTGTTTATTTATGTTGTAAGAACACATGTTTTCATGAAATAAAAGCAACAACAAATATAAATACAGCAATGTCGGACGCAAAAGAAGAACCGCCTCCACCAGTTAAGCGTTATAGGCGTGAGGAAAAATCATCTGAATCAGAGGAGGACTTAGATAGTTATGAACCTTATGTTCCTGTTAAAGAACGTAAAAAACAGCAATTACTAAAGCTTGGTAGGCTTGGACAACTTACTGCAGAGGCTACCGCAGAGACTAAAAGCTCCAGTGATAATGATCCTGACGATGAAAGTGAGTAACCACCTTTTCGATGGCAATAATTCGTCTGCTTATTAAACTAGTCTTATAATTACTTCACACGGCCATTTAATCTTAAACTAGGCACAGCCTGTACTATGGCCACCAGATTGCTGATAAACATACATATACATATAAGTATATTTCTAAATACATACATCATCACATCACATCAACAGCCTATAATAGTCCACTGCTGGTCATAGGCCTCTCCTTACAAAGGAGGTTTTGGCCTACTATATCATGCTGGGTTGGTATAGGGTTTGTTTCAAGTTTTCCTTCTCTTTGAGGTGCTGTTGTTCTGCCTAGTTTTCTCCCTTAGTTGGCTATTACGACACCCTTGGGATGAATAGGGGTAGTGACACTCTGTATTCTTACAGACCCATATATTAAAGCTTTTTTTTTAGAATTAAATCTAGACTGTTTAAAAAAAAAAAATAGTTTACATTTTTGGAATATATTTATTACATTTGATTCATAGCTTCACAAGAAGAATGGGGTCGCCGCTACAATGTGTCACTATTGGACCAGCATTCTGAATTGAAGAGGATAGCTGAGGCACGAGCATTGTCTGCAGCTGAAAGGCAGGCACGAGAAGAAGAACATATACTAGAGAGTGTGGCACAAAGCAAAGCTTTGATGGGTGTTGCTGAATTGGCCAAAGGTGAGTTTTGTGGATTCTTATATCTCCCTCCATAAGGAAACAGCTGTAATAGGCCAGCGAGGCATTTAGCCGGTGATGGTCACTTTTCATCTGAAGGCTCCTCATTTGCCCCCTATAAAATAAAAAAATATTATTACACAAATTAATTTTGAATGAATAAGGCCTTGGGGTTGTCATATTGTCATTTCTGATCGTGTTCTTCAGTAAGAAGTCATCACTTACTGATTGATTGAGTGGTCTGTTTAAGAAAAAGGCCTTATGAAAAATATTTTCATACCGACCTACGATACCGATACTGACCGGTTTTTTTCCTTACTCATCCATATGTATTCCTACGAGTAAGGTCAAAATATTCAGGTCCTTAGAAGGTTTCTTCACAGGCTTTTGCCCGGTCCGCCGAGATTGGTCGCAGCCATGCAGTTTCTTGACGCATATCCCATCGTAGACTTAGGGATATTTTTATGGAGGTTTCTACCTCATGGCCCGCAATGAAGACTACCGGTCTTGCAACACTTTCCTACAGAGTTACGGGTTGTGAAGGTCAATTCCTACCGACACGAAGAGCCAAGCTGGTCAGGCTGCCTGGATCAGGTTATTTAACTGCCGCCTGAGATCCGACGTTGCTATCCAATTGGCACCATCCAGGGGACACGTGTAGGGTTGTGGTTGTTTGTGTGCACAGTACAGGTGCGGCTGCAAACGAGCAAAGCTTTATCCTCCAATTGACGTCTGCCATTATTATACCGTCCACGAATTGCTGTTCTGAGTCTGGGTGCTTTTCATAAACGTTTGTAAATTACGACGCATGATATTTGCAGTGCGGGAGTGGTCTTTTTTAAAGGAAAAGAATGAAATCAAATAAGACAATTTCTGTCCTCTGGTTAATATTTTTCTTCAATTCCTGGTCTATAGGTATTCAATACGAAGATCCAATAAAAACGTCCTGGCGACCACCGCGCTGCATCCTGGAGCAGCCAGAGGAACGCCACGAAAGAGTCAGAAGAGAACTAAGGATACTGGTGGAAGGAGATGATGTACCGCCTCCAATAAGAACGTTCCAACATATGAAATTTCCGAAAGGTACGTCTTGTTTAATTAAGATTTATGATTTAAAAAATTCACTATAGTAAAAAAGACGAGTGACTACAGCGAGCGAACTTTTTCGAAACGTAAGGAATTAACGCCATTATAGATATGAAATTCTATTCATCACCATCATCATCGACAGCCTTTAATAGTCCACTGCTGGACATAGGCCTCTCCTAAGAAAGGAGATTTTGGCCCACTATACCGAGCTGGCCAGACGGGTTGGTAGAGGGTTTGTGTCAAGTTTTCCTTCTCTTTGCAGTGCTGTTGTCCTGCATAGTTTGCTGCTGTTTATGTTAGTATTATTGTATAAACAAACGCAAAGATAAGTAAGTACCGACGATGTAACTTGCGCCGGACGATTTTCAAAGTTTGACAATGTCAAACCAGTTTGAAATAAACCATTGTAAGGAACGCGTGTGTTTACTTTCTTTAATACACTCCAGTCGGCTATTACGACACTCCGTATTCTAAATCCGTCACCCCACAGTTCAGCCTAAATCCCGCCATCCAACAAATTCCAAAGAATTCCTTGGGAGGTGTACTCAAAAAGTGGCAACGCATTTGTGTCTCTTGATTTGCACGTGTCCCATCTGCTCCTTTGCTCCCACTATCATCAAATAAATTATAGTTTAAAAATACCAAAAAAACGCTTTTGTAACTAGCCGAACTAAAAAGTAGGTTACAATAGCTTGCTTTTAATTTTGAAAACTATAATTTATTTTTGCTTTTTTACTCATTAATGATAATTCTCATTAAGACTTAAACAGTAACAAGTAAGTTACATATGCTTTTAGCACACGCCTCTTAATACGTAGCAAAAGACACTACCGTATTTTTAGGTATGGAAAAACCCGTTAATCCTGAAGATCCTGATCAGGATAATCGGCCAGATTTATCAAATTATTGTATGGCCATCGGTCCTTGATATGTGTGCGAAGTTTTAATTTAATTCGACGTTTTGAAGTGGGTCCAAATCACGTTCGAATATTCCGTTACATACATACCAAGCTAATAAAAACGTGTTCAAAATGTATCTTAAATGACAATATTAGAACTAGCCACTTTGGTGCGCATTTGATTTTGGAGCCAAGATGTAGATAGTAGAATTCTGTTCTATATTCGGTAACAGTTTGCTTTATGTCTGCCTCGGTAATGCAGTGGTAGCGTATGCGACTGTTGGACCAAACATTTGTATGATCTGTAAATATTTGTTTCGGAGTTTGGGTGTTTTCTTTGTCTAATGTTTATGCATTTACAAAAAAAAAGAATATAAGTATTCTATCAGTCAATCTAGCTCTCATAGTACAAGCTTTGCATGTTTTGAAACTAGATGGCGTTGTGTGTCTGATGTCTAAAAAAAATATCATTACTAAATGGGTTATTCTTGTAATTTTGCTTAACAAAGCAAGTGAATAGATAGATTATATTCTCCTAGGCGTACTCCGTGGATTGGAAGCCAAAGGCATCAAGAAACCCACTCCTATTCAGGTCCAGGGCATACCCGCTGTGCTGAGCGGTCGGGACATGATCGGCATAGCGTTCACTGGCTCCGGGAAGACCCTGGTGTTCACGCTACCCATCATTATGATGTGTTTGGAGCAGGAGTGTAAGATGCCTTTTATCAAGTAAGTGGAAATGCTTAACTTAGTACTGAGTGGTATGTAGACTACAAATCCTTTTTGTTTCATAATTCAGACCACTACCACATTACAAACCAAGTTTTGCTTGGGGACTAGATTCACTTGACCCTAAAAAGAAAAAAAATCATTCCTACTTTGTATAGCGAGGCACCCTGAAATTTTATTCGCCGTGATTAATAACCCACGCTGAACAGTACCTAAGCGAAACCATTAAAAATCCTTTTTATGACTACGGAACTTTGTTTTTTAACAAGGAATTCTTAAACTATATAAAATTACTTCCCCTGACTGACTGATTGATTCGTCAACATCATCATCAATAGCCCATACTAGCCCACTGCTGGACGTAAGTCTCTCCTTAGAAAGGAGATTTTGGCTTACTATACCACGCTGGCCAGACAGGTTGGTATAAGGATTGTTTCAAGTTTTCCTTCTCTTTGCAGCCCTGTTGTAGCTTAGTATATAATAGTAATAGGGGTGGGGACACTCCGTATTCTTAGTCTGTCACCACACGGAAAGCTGAGCCAAAAGCGCTGGGGCTACAAAGTTACAATTAGATGCTTTTTATTTTTTTGCCTTTGATGTAAGCACCCACTAAGATAGGATTTTTGGGAATTTCACCCCAAAGGGGAGTAAAATAAGGGAGGAACGGTTGTATGGAAGTTCGTAATTATCAAAACAAGCACTAATTAAGAAATATTCACGGCGAACGATGACGCTGGCAAAAGGCTGGCTTGTAACTAATAATTCTGTTGCAGGAATGAAGGTCCCTACGGATTAATAATCTGCCCATCCCGCGAGTTGGCAAAACAGACATATGATATCATACTACATTTTGTGAAGCACTTGAAGATGTGTGGCAACCCTGAGATACGCAGTTGTTTAGCCATAGGAGGTATGTTTTTATCATTGACTAGATGACCCGCGCAACTTCGTCTGCGTCTCTCAATAGTAATAAATTTTCTCCGTTTTTTGAAACATTCTTCATTGGTGCTCCGCTCCTATTGGTCTTAGCGTGATGATATATAGCCTATAGCCTTCCTCGATAAATGGGCTATCTAACACTGAAAGAATTTTTCAAATCGGTTCAGTAGTTCCTGAGATTAACGCGTTCAAACAAACAAACTCTTCAGCTTTATAATATTAGTATAGATTTGTATCTAAGGATGTGCCGAATTGTTAGAAAAATATATTATTATTCAACCATAATAATAATAACACATTTCACACACGGCCGTCTGATCTCAAACTAGGCAGAGCCTGTGCTATGGTAACTAGACTGCTGATAAACATACTTATGTATTTCTAAAACATACATACTCACCCAGACACAGAACTAACGACTGTGCTCATTCATCAACAGCCTTTAATAGTCCACTACTGGGCATAAGCCTCTCCTTAGAAAGGAGGTTTTGGCCTACTATACCACGCTGGCCAGACGGGTTGGTATAGGGTTTGTGTCAAGTTTTCCTTCTCTCTGCAGTGCTGTTGTCCTGCGTAGTTTTTTCCCTTAGTCGGCTCTTACGACACCCACGGGATGAATAGGGGTGGTGACACTCTGTATCCTTAATCCGTCACCACACGGACGGTGTGCTCATTACACAGGTATATGTCCTAGTTAGCAATCGAACCCACGACCTCCGGCTTAGTATTCAGTGTCACGTTACTACTGGACTAACAATGTTTTTATTATTAGTTATATTGTGGAGATTCCTGTATCAGTATAGCCAATATAGGATTGTAAATAATAGTAGCCGTGGTTTTGAAAACCTTTGTCAATGGAATGTTTTTTTTTAAGGTGTGGCAGTATCTGAGTGCATGGAGGTCGTGCAGCGAGGAGTTCATATCATGGTGGCCACTCCTGGACGGCTTATGGACATGCTGGACAAGAAAATGGTAATAGTTTACTTTACCAGCGGACCCTTCTTCCTTGAGTCCTCCTTCCTTGCGCAGTTTTTGCAACATTTTTCATTGATGCTCGGCTCCTACTGGTTATAGCGTGATGTTATATAGTCTTCCTCAATAAATGGGCTATCTAACACTTAAAGAATTTTTAGAACCAGTAGTTCCTGAGATAGCGCATTCAACCAAACAAAAAAACTTCAGTTTTAAAATATAGTATTACAGCGGAATGCGTGTCATTCCCCTCCCACGCAAGTGAGGGATCCTCCCCAGGCTAGGAGATCATGCTGGGTTGTCACTTTTTTTTATTGTATAAGGGGGCAAACGAGCCGACGGGTCCCCAGATGGTAAGCAACTACCGCCGCCCATTGACACCTGCAACTCAAAAGTCACAAATGCGTTGCCGCCCTTGGAGTCCTTCCCGCTCGAGTCAGCGGGAGGGATTTGGGCTCCGGTAACCTCACTCACTCAGTGAAAGGCAACGAAAGAATTGCTTAACACCGGTTTTCTGCTAGGCCGTGATATCACTCCGGTCGAGCCCGCTCATTCGTGCCGAAGCATAGCACTCCCACGGTAAATCCTAAGAGTTGATGTTCAAAAGTTGTAGAAGTATAATAATTAGGGCAAGAACTTTCATTGCGCGTTACAGAATCAGTAGTTCAGCTCGTCGTCACTAGATGGCGCTAAAATATATTTTTCGCTGTAGTATCTATTATTACAACTGAGGGGCTCGTGGCTAAGTGGTAACCGAATAGGTGTGAGCTCGTTGTAAGTTAAGCAATCCTATCCAGGTCAGTCTATTGATGTGTGAACATTCTTAACACGTTAAGCTGTCGGTCCCGATTGCCATAAGAACATCTGCGGTAATCGTTACGGGTAGTTGGACCCCTAAAAGTCCGACAGCAGTCTTTCAACAGAACTTAGATATCGCCTAGTACTTGAGAGGTCCAAATGTACCTCCTAGTACTTGGGAGGTACAAGACCTACAAGTTCCTCAAATCGTACCTAGTACTTGGAACTTTTAGGTCTCGTACCCGTAACAATCTGATGGTAGTTGCTCCTCGAGTCCTCCCCAAACCGAAAATGAGGATGAGTATCTCATATCAAATATGGTTAGGTAGAGTTGGTAACATGGCAGACTGTGGCGGTGAGCGCTGACACGTCGCAAGGAGTACTCTCTAAACCTACTCCTGGGGCTGGGCGCTGTCGAAGTCGCATGTGTTGCCCCCATCTATCACGCGATGGTGATAGTTTGGTGAATCCATGGGCCTCTAACAAATAAGTGTACTATATTTAATGATTATATTTTGTTAACTTTCTACATAACTATATGACCCTCACTCAGGTTCGTTTGAACGTTTGCCGCTACTTATGCATGGACGAAGCTGACCGTATGATAGACATGGGCTTCGAAGAAGATGTCAGAACCATCTTCTCCTACTTCGCTGGACAGAGGCAGACTCTACTCTTCAGCGCTACAATGCCTAAGAAAATTCAAAACTTCGCCAGGTAAGAAGTTCTTGCAGTTTGAACTTTATCGACCTGCGAATAGAGAAGATTTTCCACTAAACATCTAATTTTTAAAAAAAACTTGATGAGGTCAGGCTCGACCGGAATGTTACCACGGTACAGTTTAAAGAAAACCCGTTTTAATTAGTTCCTTTTCACCTAGTGGGTGAGGTTAACGGAGCCCAAACCCTCAAGCTCCCCCTAATTCTGGGAGGCAGGGGTGAAAGGGCGTCAATTTACTCATGACTCTTGAATTTCGGGTATCAATGGGTGGCGTTAGTCACTTACCATCAGTTAACCAGTCTGCTCATTTGTCCCGCAATATCATAAAAGCAAAAACCTTAAAAGTATAGTAAAGTTTATTTTTAATAATCGTCGAGCCTTGTATGAAATAACGGATTGTGACGTTATAACAGGCTGTCGATTCAGAAAGTAAAAATATCTCCACACCAAATTTTAATTAAATCGGTTCTGTGGTTGTTGATTACACATTTAAACTTCCACGCCCCTTAACACCCGCTTAAAGTATAATTTCAGGGATAAAAAACTATCCTATGTCCTTTCCCGGCACTCGAACTATCTTTGTACCAAATTTCATCTAAATCAGTTCAGCGGCTTAAGCGTGAAAAGGCAACAGACAGATACATTTTCGCATTTATATTATTATATTAGTGAGTATGGATAATAATATCAACACACACGGCCGTCTGATGCCAAAGTAGGGAGAACCTGTACTATACTCAAACTCAAACTTTCTTTATTTCATAAAATTTCCAAAATTGTTTGAAATCGTCTTCCATGTAGACTCTAAAGTCATAGATCAACACACACAAAAGCAACAATCTCTGTTTTGTCAAATAGTAACCAAATAAATTTAACAAAAATCAAACCCATACAAAATCTATGATATGCCTGTGCCGATCTACAACCGCCCGTTTCCAAGGGGTTGAGCCTTATGAGAAGAAAGGGCAAACAAACTCATGGCCACTCTTTTGCAATTCGCAGGTAGATACAATGGCACTATTAAATATATCACAACATTGTTTAGATGTGTGCTAGTATGTCCGTTATTAAGGACTAAAAGGTGAAAAGACAATGAAGAGAAAACAAGATTAAGAAGAAAAAACGAATACAAGAGAAAATGAAGTGAAACATAAAAAATAGAAAAAATAATAATAATAAAAAACATACTAGCCACTATAGTAAGCAGACTGCTGATAAACATACTTATGTATTTCTAAATAAATTTATATTATAAACAATGGGAACCGAACCCACTACCTCTGGTTTAGCAGCCACACTCACTGTCCTCTAGACCAATAGGTCTGCCATGGAGCTCACGCTGGGAGCACGCTCGCTCCTCCATCATCAAACCTCCTCTAGGCACCCATTAACAGACCTGGAATTTAATCGCTCCCTTTTCTATCCAGGTCAGCCCTTGTAAAACCGGTGACTGTAAACGTGGGTCGAGCTGGAGCCGCATCACTGAACGTTCGCCAGGAATTGGAGCCGGTGAAGGCTGAAGCAAGGACGGTACACTTGCTGCACTGTCTCCAGAAAACACCACCCCCAGTGCTGGTGTTTGCTGAGAGGAAGCAGGATGTCGATGCCATACACGAATACCTGTTACTTAAAGGTTAGTAATTAGGGTAAGCGGTTACCGGTAGCAGTAACTACACTGTCTACTTTGAGTAGTTGTAAAGTTCTTATTACAAAGTACGTATCTGGCTGCATGGATGGTTTAGTGGTCGCACGCCGCTTCCTACTGCACTGAGTGTTGTGAGTTCGATCCCCATATGGCACAACACTTTGTGTGACCCTCAAAATGTTGTTCTGAGTCTGGGTGTAAAGTCTCCCGCGACATAGGATATATTCCTAATGCGGGAGTTGTCTTATGAAGTATAAAAAAGAATACGGAATATTTTAGAATACTGACAAATAAGACAGACTAGATAACTAAAAATTGAGTCAAATAGTTAGTTAGAATAGGCTGAGTTACATTACAGTTACCGACAAAGTTAGTCTAGATAAAAGATGCCTGAATATCCGGCTATCCGGCTGGAATTAGCCGGATATCCGGTAGACGGATTCGTTCACAAAGGGAGGATCCTCCGATCAGACCTGGCGGGCCGCGGCCCAACGAGTGATGTAGGGTAGTTGTATACATGCTAATCGGCGAGAGAACTCTTCATATCGCGATATAGGATTCTCGTTCAGGAGTTACTCCATAGTTCGGTATGTCTTCGTTAGATGGCGCTGTAGTATGTTTCTGTTTCTTTGTATGTGAGAGGTGCCACAACCCGTATGTCCGTGTCTAGTATACTATATGGCTCCATCCCATCTCAGCTTCGAATTTTTTATTAAAAGTCTATTAAAAATCATTATTTCAGGTGTGGAGGCAGTGGCTATCCACGGTGGTAAAGATCAAGAGGAGAGATCAAGGGCTGTGGAAGCGTTCAGAAGAGGAGAGAAAGATGTTCTAGTGGCCACCGACGTTGCTAGCAAAGGTAATAATAATATGGACACATCTCACACAGGTTCGTCAGATACCAAGGTCGGCAGATCCTGTATCCTATTGGAACCAGACTGCTGATAAACATACAGGGAGTTAGGGAAACGCTTCCGGAAACACAAACGATAGCATTAATGATAATTTTAATGATGGTCAGAAAAAAATCGATTTGGGATTGTTTTTTTCTGACCCATCACACCCGACACCCAAATATATCTTTTGACGACGTTCGTGTAACGGACTGAAATTCCAATTTTCATGCACACAAGTGTTTGATTTGGTCTTGGTGTTTCTATGTATAATATGTATTTTTTACAAAAAAAAACATTAAACTTGAAAAATCAAGAACTGCTCATTGAGACTGTTCTAATAAGCCTAAACATGGTATATATGCTGTAATTTTTTGAGGAGTTGGCTATCCCTCAGGCTACTTGATGCAGCAGTAAGTTCCAGGTTACCATGTAATGGAAATACCATCAAAGTAACAGTAAACCAACTTTCAGATCAATCGGAGCTGTGGATTTCAGTGAGATCCCTTCATCACCTAGGAAGTGAGCTGATGATCTTCAAAATTTGTAGCTAAGATCATCTCGATTACATCGGCTTTTGAACAAAAAAATCCGAAATTGTTCCATCAGTTCGGGAGCTATGATGCCACAGACAGACAGACAGATAAGCAGATACACAGGTTAAACCTATAACACCCTTCGTTTTCCGTCGGGGGTTAAAAATACAAATGTCCGTGCTCATTACACAATCATTTGTTTCGGATGGGAATCGAAATCACGTTTAGACGAACAGCCCTTCAAGACAGACAGGTTCCTTACAGTCGAATCAATAATATACTCCATTTTTAATACCATCTCTTCAACCCCTAGGTCTGGACTTCGCCAACATCCAGCACGTGATAAACTACGACATGCCAGAAGACATAGAGAACTACGTCCACCGTATCGGTCGTACCGGCCGTGCCGGGGGAGAAGGTGTCGCCACCACCCTCCTTGGACGGGCCGCTGACGACAGCGTGCTCAGGGACCTGGCGCATTTGTTGACTGAAGCTGGGCAGAAGGTAGGATAAAACATCAATCATCAGCGTTTAGTAGTCCACTGCTGGACATAAGCCTCTCCTTAGAAAGGAGGTTTCACTCTATTATACCACGCTGACCAGACGGGTCGGTATGGGGTTTGTTTCAAGTTTTCCTTCTCTTTGCATTGCTGTTGTCTGAAGAATAGGGGTGGTGACACTCCGTATTCTTAATCCGTCACCCTCACGTTATTTCTATAAAATAATTTTGATGTTCCACATCTGCCAGACGTCCCATCACTGCTCAATGATTTTTCAGGATTTTGTTTTTAGTCATCATTTTACGGTTGAGGGGCATAATTCTTGACGCACATGTGGCTCTTTGTTAGAGCTGGATGCGAGAAGCCCAAAATCCAAAGTGTAATGAGAGGCTTATGTCCAACACTGGACTGCGATAGGCTGATAATGATCATAATGAAGAATTTTCTATTCCAGCACCATCTGGTAAAAACATTAGTCGGCTAAGCAAGGCTGTATAATACCCGTCTACCCACTTTTGTATTAAAATTACATTCGCTGTTGAGGTACAATACAATACAATATATATATATTCTTTGTGTTCAGGTACCGTCTTTCCTGCTGGACATGATCGGAGAGCCAGACATTCCCGTGCCTGACGGTCAAGGATGTTCCTACTGCGGTGGTCTTGGACACAGGATTACAGGTTATTTATATTTCTAAATATATAAGTTCATACATGTGTATAACAAAAGTGGCAGTACTTTGGGGGAGTTCAGTAGACCATGGACCAGGAAGAATACGAAGTCCATCAAAAGGATGGCGAGATAATCTGTTGGTGATAGTGGGTGCAGGCCGCTTCCAGGCGGTCTTCTTAAAACACTTATGTCCATTCGGAATCATTCTACGGTTGAGAGGCATAATTCTTAGTTATAGGTGTCCAGGAGTGGTGGTCCATGGTACTTTTTCGACCCTATGCTCCCATCCCTTACAAAATATAAGTTAATAAGTTGATTTCCTTCCAGAATGTCCGAAGCTGGAGGCTGTACAGAACAAACAAGCGTCAAACATCGGCAGAAGAGATTATCTGGCTAACACAGCTGCTGATTACTAAGATGCCCAGAATCCCACTAGTGGGATAACTTTATTATCACACGCGAGTACCAAGGAGAGAAGACTAGTTTATTTTATCACCAAAAGCCACTTATTGTGTCACTTGATATTACTGACCTGTTGTAACTGACCAGAGATCATAGGTTTGACTCCCACCCAGGACATTTGTGTAATGAGCACGATCATTTGTTCTGTCTGAGTATAATTTGTCTACAGTTTGTATTTAGAAATGTATAAGTAACTTTATCAGCAGCCTGGGTCCTATAGTACCTGGGTACAGGTTCTGTCTCGGGTGTGGGATGTGTCAAGTTATTATTAATGGTTAGAAATCTATTTTTTACTTAAATGACAAAAGACAAGAAGAAATGCAAAATATCAGACAAGAGATATATGATTAAGACATAACCGCATTCTTCATTATAATAATAATATCCTAGCGTTTTGACATAATTTTTGTTTTGTTTCATCGAATCAATAAATGTCCTGAAATTGAAGTTTAACTGTACATAATATATTATTTAAGCTTTAAATAAATAATGTGTTTTTCTTTTAGATTTAGTAATGTCTCGTTTGTAGGTAGCGAGCTAGTGAGCCCGGCGAACATTATTTTACCTGATATCGTACATAGTATGAAAAGAGGTGAAACGATGCTCGCCTGGCTGAACTGTAACATGACACGGAATGCTCCCCTTGCTCAAACGTCCGTCCGTAGTTTTCGTTCACAATTCACATATTTTAGCTTTGCTTAGTTTAGATTTTGCCTATCCTTGCTTCGCTCGCCAGCTGGCGATGCAGCCTGGTAGATGTTATCAGGGTTGTCAGGTCCCAGATTAATATATAATTTTATATTTATTAAAAGGCAAAACTACAGCATAAAATATTCAAAAAATATCAAAACAGGATACTTCTAGTATTATTGAGCGAGGATTTAAAAATCCCGCTGATTAAAAATTAAGAAATTTGTACAACCGTTAACCAGCTACGACGTAAAGGCATATTAATTTCTTAACATTTACCATCCATTTCTTTGAGTAAGTTATTAAAAATAAGAAACCAATATTAAAAGAATGTATTTATTTTAAAACACTGTTTTATTCATGGTACTTAAATTATACAACAATATAAACCATGATACATTACATGATCGCTGTGTTTGGTTAAAAAAATATTTTTCAATTGATAAATATACTTTAAATATTAACTCCAGAGATCTGGTAAACCTTACAGACTATTTTTATGTGTAGTCATTAATTTTATTGCCATAATATTGGATTTTTATAATCTATTAACTCTATTACGGTTTGCTGTGGCACGTTGTGGTTTCATTGATGAGAAATGAGAACCTAAACTAACGCGAATAATAGATAAAAAAATCCAAGACCGATTAAACTGAAATTTTGACACGATATACACACCGTATATCGTGTCAAAATTTAAGTTTAATCGGTGCAGAATTTTTTAAGGTTTTGAAGCGTACACAAACCACCTTAAGATTTTTTTATATAAGTATATAATTTTTTCCATATTCAAGATTCTAAGATTACAAGATAAGCGTGTACCATTTTCCTGTCATCATCAATTTCAATTAGGTGAATTGGAAGACTTTGCCTATTTAGAAGATTATTTCATTGCCGAATGAATAATACAAAACTTAATAACTTTACAATTGTAAATCACTTTTTTATTATTTATCTTTTCGTATTTTATCGTCTCTCTATTCCTAAAAGGCTAGTTCCCGGGCCGTTATCTCCAAAACCCTAAGATCTAGAAAAAAAAATATAGAGTATTATCGTTGACAATATTTTTCAACCAAACGCTCTTAAATATTTAAATGAACAAAACGAAATTTACATAGACGTAGGATTGATTTGTTTTTCGCTAAATTTTCTTAAACTCATGGGAAAAAAACCATTACATAGAGCTATTCAACTAGACTCGGCGCTTGACCATCATGGTGTCATAATTATTGGCCCATCACTCACAGAGATGGCAACAATACAACCCCCACTCTAAACTTTAAAATACCAACAAATGACGTCACTAACTGTCATTTTATACACGTGTTTTTGTTTTTCTTTTTTTTTCGTGATGTTGGCTGTTCTTGTTTTTCTTTTTATGGTCGAGACGGATCACATGGTGGTAACGGGACTAACACCCACCACACGCCCACCACTGTAACTCCTGTATACCAGGATCAACAACAGTGACTCCACGAGCACACCGAGTTATGACACTCGGGATGTCCCAGGAAACAATTAAACTGTCTTGGAACCCGCAACGAAATTATGAGAAGATAATTGGAGGTGATGTTAAGTGATTACCGCCCTCCATGGATATTTGCAGCTCAACAGTTACAGTTGAGCCCTCCAGTGCGTTATGGGGGAGAGAGAGTGGGGCACTTGGGCCTCCAGAAAATTCCGGTCCCAGTTTACTAAATTACACAGCGCGATGATCAAACGCCAAGCAAATAACATTTGAATGGCTAAAAACAAAGCATTTATAATCAATATGTTTTAAACAAAAGCTTATATTATATATTTATATATATTTAAAAGTTCGACATTTGGTTTTAATATTTTTTTCTTATCTACATTTTTATATGAATTCTGTGACACTTGGAATAATCTTCCATCTCGCTTGCACATATACTTTATGAAAAGGACAGCGTGTAAGATAATATTTTATTTATAGAAAATACCCATTCTACTTGACCCATTTTTAACCCCCTCTCGGTGACCACCCGTAGTGGCATACCAAGAACTTCCCCGAAATAATATTAACTCAGTAAATCATAAATGATCTAAAATATGTTTTGTATACAAAAAAAATTGTTTGGCAGATTTTTGTAATAAATAAAGATTTATGACATGTGACGAAAGCTTAAATCCTGCCCAGTCCCTGTGATCGAACAAGGTGTTCTGAAGACCTACTACCCCCAATACAGCTTCTATAATGTTGTTAATAATTGCTGTCAACGGTAAATATTTTTAAATATTCTAATATTTGTAAAAAGTTAGGCATTAATTCTGCTATATCCTTTGCCATGTGGTTAATACGTCTCTGCTAACCCTCTTCAGGCCCACAGGCGTGAGTATATGTTTCTACGTTATGTACAAGTTGTTACAGAAAGCTGTGGTGATAAAAAAAGACTGTAACAGCAGGCACTTTAAATGGTACGACGTGGGTGGGTGTCCTTTTAATTCTCGACATAAAATGGAGAGTTTAATTATTTATTTTGTTTGATTGGAGACTTCCTAACTATAATTAAAAGTATATGTTTAATAGTTTTAAGATCATCAGTTTTTTCTTATGGTTGAAGTGATGTTTGAGTCAGTTTTTTATATTTAATTATTTGATTTATCTACTACTATTAACTAAACGACTTGAGTTGATCTAGTTAAAACTTATAGGATTATTATGAATGAAACTATAAGTAATAAATACTTAAAATATAAACAGAATTTTCGATGTGCGGAAAATTCCGTATACAAAAACATTTAATTTGATATGCTAATTAATATAAAGTTTAATTGTTATATAAAAAGTGTGCATTAATACTAGAAAAACATTTGATAAAGCTTTTTTTTAACAATTTTTATTTTATTTTTTTATTTCATATTTTTCAGGCAGACTATATACTTGTGCCTGTTGGTGTAGTGATTAGCTATACTGACTGCTAAGCCCAGAGGTCGTGGGTTCGATTCTCACATTTATTTTGTGTTTAGGATTAATTTATCTATAATTTGTAAGTACATATTTAAAAAAAAGTATGTTTATTATTTATTTATTGAGTCTTCCTGCAAACATATTGCATAAGGCGGACTTAATGCCTCAGGCATTTACTTCCAGTCAAACCTTTAGGTGTTGCAAAGCTGTGTGTGGCAGGTGTATATTTGGGACAGGTAAAGATGAGACTGAATGAAGCCATGTTACAATGGCAGAAAAGAACAAATCCTACAGATAGTACTAGATATACATACATATAGTTTAAACATATAAATATCATAATAAATGACAAAAAATATACTCTTAAGGTGTTATTCTGATGACTCCGTCAACAAGTCTCTATAGAGCTCCCGTACTTTAAGCTTAAAATGTTTATCAGTCAGCAGTCTGGTTACCATAGCACAGGCTCTGCCTAGGTTGAGATGAGACGGCTTTGTGTGAGACCTGTGAGGTTATTCTTACTTATTGACTATACAAAGCAACATTAAATTTTTTACCACATATTTTCTGTAACGCCTGTATTTACTATTTTCACAATAAAAAGCCCAATGAGATGATGATGATTGTAATAAAATATATAATTATAACAGAAATAATGTATGTTCCTTTATTTCGTGGTTAGTGTAACAATTTATTTGCTTAGAAAACCCAAATATATATTTTCTAAATGCTCTAAAAGTGAGCTTAATTTATTATTTTTGTTGCTTATATGATTGCGGTCGATTTGTGACTGCAAACAGTTCTTTGCAGCAGTGACCACAGACTGCCAGCATTTTATGTGATTATTTTTGAAATTTAACCTTGCGAATTGAACTTTTAGCGTTTAAAAACCATGAGCTAACCAAATGTCGAACTTATTAAACACTTAAGTAACAAAATCATACCCTAAATATTTTTTATTTTTTCTTCTGACCCTGGAGGCAACTTTTTTAGGGTCATCATAATCCTCATCCTGTTCAAAAACAATATTATTCTCAATCACCCAATCGCCTTCTTCTTTAACTGGCCCAGTAGATAGCCTTTTCTTTTTCTTCTTGCCGGAGTCCTCTTTTGTTCTCTTCTTAGGTCTCTCGTCGAGAACTAAATGTTGGTATTCTTCGACGATATAGTTTTCTGGTTCGTAGCTTGTTGTGATTTCTACTCCTACGGTTGGGTCTACATCAGGTAGAATGTAGTAATTCTCGAAATCACCTTGAAGAGTTATTTCATTCATCTCCGCTGTGAAGTGCCTCTTCTTTTTGCCAGAAGAGCAATGTTTAATATATGCATACTTTGGTTTGGTGTCGTCCGGTAGTATGTTGACTGTCCACTCTGTGTTTTCTGTAGCTGGTATTTCTTTCACTTCTTCCATTGTGATCTCTTGTTCTTCTGCGATTTCGTAAATAAAATTATCAGAGATCGTGTTGTCGTCCATTATTTGGAGGACTTCGGAGTTCTGGCCCTGGGCTGTTGAAGTCTGAGGTATTATCTGAGGACAAAGTATTTTTATTTTAATATTTTCTTGCTGGTAAATAAGACCATTGTGTTGTCAAAACACTGGTCTCAACATCTAGCTCAGGCCGTTTGCAAAAGAATTTTTAATATTTTGTTTTTACCTCTTTCTATTCAATCTTGCACATTTTAGAATAGTCATATACTAGTTTTTTGTTAGCTTTAGTAACTAACTTTATATTAGAATCTAAAGACAATAAGATAAAAATCAGATACAAAAGGTAACCTAGACTTTATTCTGATTCTGCAAATAAATTTTATTTTATTTAAAAAAAAATGCCTCGACGAACGAGAATTTAGCAAATCGTGCGGATTACATAGGCGGGTGACTCGTGCGTGTACGTGCTCAAGTCGCTGGAACCACTTAGTCCTTTCCGCGAGAGCTACTTGCATTGTGTACAAGCACCCTTAACTTTTCTTTTTTTTTCAAATTTATTTTGGAACACAGTCATTTAAAACAAAATTACACAATAAATATACTTTAAATTATAGACGTGTCACAGATGTTACTGAGTATTTATATCAATACAATGTCAGCTTTTTACTTACCATATTGTGTTATACAAATCATATTAAAAAAAAAAAACAAATAGATGATTAAGTGGTGCACAGTGTATACAGGGTACACAGGCGACGGTGACTTAATCACTTACCAAATACCATAAGGTGACCAATCAGCTCGTTTATACCCTTACATCACAAAACACATCAACAGCCTATACTAGTCCACTGCTGGACATATGCCTCTCCTTAGAAAGGAAGTTTTGGCCTACTATACCACGCTGGCCAGATGGGTTGGTATAGTGTTTGTTTGAAGTTTTCATTCTCTTTTTTGTGTACTTTGCTCCCTTGGTCGGCTCTTACGACATTTACGGGATGAATAAGGGTGGTGATACTGATGGGTATTCTTAACCCATCACCACACGGACAGTTTCTCCTCTATGCCAGAAAAAAAAATATTATAATAATATTTTACCTCTATAATCTGCCTGGGATCCGGCATCTTGGTAATAACTTGTTCTGACTGCGTGATCGAAGCTTCTGCCTTATCAGTCTCAACCTTGACAACCCACAGTTGTTTCCTTTGAAGGTTCTTGAGGGATCTGCACCAAAAATACCGACTGATAATAAATTCACACACCTCACACAACTATCTACTCCCAAACTAGGCAGAGCCTGTATTATGGTAACCAGACTGCTGATAAACATACAAATATATTTCCAAACATATGACATGTGTCCACACAGAAAAAATTATCGTGCTCATCATACAATTATTTCCCCTGTGTGAGAATTGAACCCACGATCTCTTGACTAACCGCTGAACCAACAGGCCCGTCATGAATAGAACGGAATGTATGTTATTAAAACGGTTTAATTAGCTTTACTTGTAATTTTTGTGTTGTGGCGACACACTTAAGGACCATCTTACAAAGACACACAGAACTACGGAGTTAATATAGTTACGAGTAGGGAGTTAATATAGTTACGAGTAGGGAGTTAATATAGTTACGAGTAGGGAGTTAATATAGTTACGAGTAGGGAGTTAATATAGTTACGAGTAGGGAGTTAATATAGTTACGAGTAGGGAGTTAATATAGTTACGAGTAGGGAGTTAATATAGTTACGAGTAGGGAGTTAATATAGTTACGAGTAGGGAGTTAATATAGTTACGAGTAGGGAGTTAATATAGTTACGAGTAGGGAGTTAATATAGTTACGAGTAGGGAGTTAATATAGTTACGAGTAGGGAGTTAATATAGTTACGAGTAGGGATGGAATAAAATCTGAATCAACTGTGATAAATCATGTGATTATATTCAAACCTGACTAATTTACAAAATCACTGCGATTTATTTGCGATTATCATACGCCAGACTCGCTAATCTAAAAATATGTGTGACTGCGCATACGGTGTAGTGGTTTAAGCAGTCACTTCACCGCTTCTTACTACGACAATACTTTGTGTGATCCACAAATTGTTGTTCTGAGTCTAGGTGTTCTTTATGTCCGTTCCATGTATGGTTGTAAAGTCCAACTCGACAAAGAATATTTCCTAGTGCGAGAGTTGTCTTGTTTAAATAATAATCATGAAGGTTAGTTTCACAAGGAAAGGGAGAAAAGTGGTCGATGACAAGACCACGTTTAACTTACAAGTATCCCAATGTATCCACTAGCTGTCTCACGTTCAACCTGGAGACACTTTCGGGCGACTCCTTTTTGATCGGCTCCACGCTGTAGTTGTGCTCCATACGGATTATTTCGGCCACTGCAAACAAAAAACATCATTTTACTATAATGAAAAGACTTTCAACAAAACATAGAACAACGCCATCTAGGGTAGAGAAGCCGAACTGCGCAGGAACACAAGTGTTTTCGAGTTGTTTTTAAACGGCCATCCGACACGATCGATAAGAGAATATTATTGACCAGATAATGTAACCTGGTCATAGGATTCTCGTAACTACTTCTACAAAGTATTTAATTGTTACATTAATTTGTAACTTACAATCTTTGAGGGACTTAAAATAGTATACCATAATATATTAACTTTAGATAAAACTAAAACGAAAAATATAATTATACATACACAAAAAAAGTAGCGACTGTACTTTTTAATTTAGAACGTGCTCTGTATTTGAAGTCGCCTGGTCCAAAGTTGGAAGTTGGTCCAAAACTTTAGCCATTTCCGAGATATTATCGTGGAATGCTATGGGCTATATAACATCACGCTACGATCAATAGGAGCAGTGCATCAACAAAATTATAGCAAATCACTGATTCACTGACTTTTGCTCAATGTTTCTTAAGTGACTTAAGTGTGAACTAAGAAAGGATTTTAAAAATTCCACCCCTAAGGATACAAAATGAGGGTTGAAAATTTATATGAAACTTCGTTATTTTTGGTACTACGAGTATATATATTTAACCCGGCCAAATTTATTGACAAAATTGTCATTTACGCTAGCGAAGCCGTGGGCAAAATCTAGTAAAACTATAAATACATCAAGAAGTGACGTGTCGCCGTGAGAACAAAATTGATTATAAATATTACTACCCTCGCAAATACTTCAAATTAAATAATAGTACAATTTACAATCTTAATCAGAAATAACAACTCTCACTACATAGTGATAAAGTTCAATTTTGATAGCGCGCTAAAGTACTACAAATGACTTTAATAAAACAGTAAATATAATTTGTATAGACAAATGTGTAACGATATTTTTACTTAAATGGATATTAGTTGCTATTTTTAGAATAAAAAATGGCGCACGTCACACAACGCGCGTGCTAGGTGCGTGCTAAACCTCCACTGCGTGAGTCGTCCATATACAACAATTTCTTTTATTAATACAATTTTAACAAACGTGGTTCTTCAAAAATAATTATTTATAGACTTTTAACTACTAATTATAACAACTACATATAATACAGATACAGTTTCAGTCTAAAAATGGCGTTAAGTACCTTTAGAGGATCCGTTTATGAATTTTTCGAATAAGCCTTGATAGGACGGTGCCCTGTCGGTCCCTGGAAGACAGGAACAATTGTCAGTAACTTTACTGTTGTTCAAACAATTGGTGGGGGAAGGGGGGGTTCTGAACCAATGATAAATAATAGTGCAACTCTCGCAACAAATTGTTCTTACTCCGACACGTCAATACTTTTAGTAATATGTACGTTGAAGTCACATGTGCAGTCTACTTTTCATCTCAGTAAAATTAAAATTTATGTTCTTAGGTTGAGCAAAAAATATTGTTTTCGACATCATTTCTCAAGGAAATTTTACCAATGTATAAATTGTTTTAATTAGAAACCAACTGAAAAATATGTATAAACATATGTATGGCGTTGTAATTAAAATCGTGTCGAATCAGTTTTACTCGATCGTCACAACTTCGTTCCTATCGGGAGTCCCACGACACCACACGGCTTTTTTTTATCGGTAATCAGTAGAGATTGAATTCTCATTTTGCAGAATTTCCGTTACAGTTAAAGTTGCGCGTTGCATCAAGTGTTCTTAGAGAGGATATAAAAACACGAAATCTACGGTCTATAATACGAAGAGAGTGAAAGTTAGGTGATTTCCAAACATCATGAACAGTCTTACATATTCCACTGATGGACATAGGCCTCTCCTTATAAAGAAGGTACTCCAATGTTTGTGGTTACACACTAGATTTTTTTATCTCATCTTAGCTGTACCCTGCCAGGCTTCGCCGTGGCTCATTGTGATTGCATTGATGCGAAACGAGGAACAAAACTGACGCGAAAAACAAATAAAAACAATCTTTGAAATATATTGTACGGCTTGTTAAAATTTGGGTTCAATCGGTGTTTATTTTTTTTTTATATTCGTTTGGAGTGCTCGATATTGCCGGCAATAACCAATTATATTTACAGATATGCGATTTTGATCTTCTTGAGTTAGTTACATTTCTCAATCCAACTATGGAAGTAATATTCCTCTACTACTAGCAGCTGCATGGCTGCACGGATGCCGTAGTGGTTTAAGCGGTCCTATTCCTACACGCCACACCACGCCTATTCCTACTGCGCTGAGTGTTGCGGGTCCGATCCCCACACGGGACACTTTGTGTGATCTACAAATTGTTGTTCTGAGTCTGGATATACTTTGTGTCCGTTTCATGTATGTTTGTGGGGTGCCCCAATACACAAGAATATTTATTCCTAATGTTGTATTTTTTTTTAAACTACCATTGCATTGATGACCCTGTTGATCTAGTGTTAGGTTAGTGACCCTAAGTGCTAAGCCGGAGGTCTTGGAGCACGACCATTTGTTCTGTGTCTCGGTGTAATTTATCTTTAATATGTATGTCTTTAGACATATTTAAGAAGTTTATCAGCAGATTGGTTACCATAATACAGGCTCTGCCTAGTTTGGGACCGGACTACCGTGTGTGAGATGTATCAAGTTATTATTATTCCATTCTTATCTTTCTTTATTTTTAATATTTCATCTAAGAAGTGACCAGTTAATAGCAATAGACGACAAGCCGTCCTCTAGCCGTCCGTCATTTTTTTAGTCAATTCCGACCCAACATCCATGAAACGCATTGTTACTGGTGACGAGACGTGGGTTTACGAGTTTGACATGCAAACTAGTCAACAAGCTACGGAGTGGCGCCTTGTAACTGAACCGAAACCGAAATACCACTCCAAAGTCGATCAAAAGTCAAAGTCATGTTGACTGTTTTCTTTGACTATCGCGGTGTTATGCACTCGGAATTCTTGCCAGCCGCCTCAAAGTTCAAGCTCGCTCAATGAATCTGCTAGGGTGTCTAGAAAGGCACCCTAGCAGATTCATTATAAACTTAAAGTTTTATATATTATTAATATATAGGATTATGTAACTTATGTATGTGTATGTATTTGGTACGTATAATATAATATAATATACTAGCTGACCCGGCAAACGTTGTATTGCAAAACAAAAAAAAATAGGGATGGGTCACCCTTACCATTTAGGGGTATGAAAAATAGATGTTGGCCGATTCTCAGACCTACCCGATGTGCACACCAAATTTCATAAGAATTGGTCAAGCCGTTTCGGAGGAGTACGGGAACGAACATTGTGACACGAGAATTTTATATATAAGAAGATATATTGTTTATCTTCTCCAAAAACATTCTCACAGATACAGAGTACACTTTTTTCTAACTTCAATCAATGTATGCTGTAGAGACTGGAGCCTGCACTAGGTTTAACCTGTTACAAGTCTCCAGGCCTCCGACTCGGATAAAATGGGGATCTAAAATCTAAAAAAAAAGTGTACAATACAATAAGGTTTTCTTAAATAGCGAGACAAACAATTGTTTAATATTATCTTGGTTAAGTACTACAGCCAGATGTAACGTGTTTTTTTGAGTATATTGTTGATTATATGTATGTATTTATGTGTGTATATTTATCAGATTGTTTTGCCTAACTTATCAATAATTTTCATTTACTTTACATTTCATTGTCTAGTGCACCTAGTCACACATTTCAGCACCACCCTAAGGTAGAATAAAATGCCTGTGGCATTAAGTCCGCCATTGTACAACTCATACTTGTGCATAAATAATTAATTATTAATAAAATAACCTGGTTAGAGGCAGTATCGTTCTACGCCAAACATTTCACTCAAATAAAAGACGTGCTTTCCCATTTTGACAGTTCAGAATTCTAAGCAATAAAAAGTGCAAAAAAATGTAGTAAATAAAGAAAACTTTGAAGCAAAGTTAAAAGAAATTGATATTTATTATAGAATTATAAAATTATCAATACTTAAATTAGAAAAAAGTTGTATAACGATCAGTGACGCATTCCTTACATTCGATAATGTAAGAACGGTATTGAATTGGAAAGCATCTGAAAGTAATATTCATTCAGAATTCTAATTCCCGAAAAATTTTGGTCAAAGTACCGATTCCCAGGAATTTTCATCATATCCATACTTTTTTTTTCTAGGGACTAATTCCACCCACACGCCCACCACTGTAACTCCTGTACACCAGGATCCACAGCAGTGACCCACGAACACACCGAGTTATGACACTCGGGAAGTCCCAGGAAGAAACTAAACTGTCTTGGAACCCGCAACGAAATTAATCAGAAGAAAATTGGAGGAGTTGGAAATACAGTAAATCCACTTCCCTCCTTAGCAAAGCGGGAGACAAAATGAAGTAAAATAGGCATACACCCTTTTAAACAGGGAAGCACCACGGCAACAAAATATTACGGGTCCTACGTGAGCTATATATTTGATTTCTATAATATGTATGGCAGAATCTCCTAAACGCACGGAAATTCACCCTAGTAGACACAAGATCCCCAAAGTATACCGCCCCAGATGTCACCTGCAAGCTATTCAGCATTATATTACGTTCATTATACCAAAGACTACATTCCCAGAGGATATCATGAGTAGATTGTTCAGAGTGAGAGTTAGGTGTTGAGCATTGACACAATGGTGACTCGACTAATTTAAATAATAATAATAATAATATTCTACCACATTGACACAACGCCATCTAGTCCCAAACTAAACAGAGCTTGTACTATGGGTACTAGACAACTCATATAAATACATATATCCTTTTTTTTTGTAAATACATACATATTATATGTACATAGAAACACCCAGACCAAATCAAACATTAAATGTTCATGCACACAAATGCTTGACTTGAGCGGGAATCGAACCCGCGACCTTTGGAATAGCAGTCCGTTACACAAACCACTACGCCATTCGGTCGTCAAATGAATACAACTTGCTCTTAAAGTTACCATGACCCGTAAGAAATTGAGCGACACAGTGATCCACCTCAAGCCATGTCCTCGACAACCGTTCGCGAACAGATGGAAAGAATTGGTAAAGATGGGCGCCCCTTGGATGATGCGTCCCAGCGTTGCTGCCATTCCGATCTATACTTATAAAACATCTCCTCTGTGTAAAACGAGCTTTAGAGACGGTTTAATACTCACCTTTATTTCATCAGCTATTGGATCTTTCCAGAAAAATGATGATTATTAAATTTACACTTACGTTTTTTATCTGTGGCGCTCTGCTGAATAGGTGCTGCCGTTTCCTGCTGAGTAAGGAGTTCAGGTAACATTGGCGAGTCGATCCATAGTCCCTGGTTGTCCAGCTCGAAATGATACCTGAAGGTACAGAAACATGAGCCATATATATTATTTATAGTAAAGAGACTCCATCACAAAAGAATTAGGTTTGATATTCCAAAGATTTGCACAGGATGGAACTCGAAGTTAGTCGAGTCGAGTCAGTTACTCCTTGTGATTATGTTGTATAGTGTTGACTGTTTTATTGAGGAAAGACAGACCCAAACACATAGATAAATTATTAAATGAAGTGAAAGTGGTCACATCTCCAGGAGGTCGCTGGAGCCGATTTGACTGGAGACCGCGATCAAGCAAACGTAGGGCGTCCTGCGGTACGATGGACCGAGGACTTAAAGAAAGAACGGACTGCCCAAGATCGCAATAGATTTGGATAAAAAGTCATAAAAATCTTGGCAGTGAAATATTTTTCGACAGTCATGTTTAAGGCTTACCCGCATAGCTGCAAGCTGACATGCCTCCAGAGGCATTCACTCTCCTCGTGCATGGCGCCCTCGATCCACTCCTGGCGCTTGACGTCATTGTCAGACGATATATTGGCACTGGAAAATAATTAACTTTTAAAAAGTGTCTTCAATTTGCTTATATCATTTTGATTTTATTGCAATTAACTCTATTGTTCGTTCCTTAATTTTCCATTTTTATGTGAATGGGACCAAACGGGAAGTATAGTTGACTGCCTCGGTGGTGCAGTGGTAGCCTATGCATCTGCTGTACTGAGGTCTCGGGTTCAATTCCCGGGTCGGACCAAATGTTTGAATGATCTGCAAATATTTGTTTCGGAGTTTGGGTGTTTTCTATGTATAATATGTAGGTATTTTAAAAAAAAGTATCTAGGTATATAAGTATTTTATCAGTCAATCTAGCTTTCATAGTACAGGCTGTGCTGCGCCAGATGTCCAAGGTTATTATTTTTATTATGGTCTTCCAATTCGAATTTTCCAAATCGGTTCATAAATAACGGAGTTTTGAGGTAAGAAACATAAAAAACCAAATGAATTGCGAATTTTGTGAAGTCACTAAACAAAGATTTTTATAAAATGCTACTCTAGCTACGAATTGTGGTATGTTTTGTACGGTTCCTAGGGTTTTACTCTCCCTTTTATTTTATTACACATTTTTTAGCTAATTTATGGTGCCTATCAAAGGCTTTCAGATCACTAAGGATCTAAATTGATAACATTAAATCTATCAATCTATAATCTACGAGCCGTACCCTGCCACGTTTCGTTGTTCGTTGTGGTGGCATTGATGAGAAGGGAAAAAATGAAGACAAGTGAAGGGAATTGTATATCCTGTCAAAATTTGAGCTCAATTGGTGCAGAACTATTTGATTTTTAGAAGAGTTCACATACCTTAACATTTTTTTAATATATAGAATGGTTGTAAAGCACAGGTATCGAATATCCACCTCATTTATGTAACATAATTAAATCGATTCTGTAACCGTTGTACAAAGTCAAATTAGAACATGTGTTATGAGCTTCCTTGATAACACTATCGATTTGTTTAATTTTTCTATACTAAAATAACAAGGAATTTCAATACATTGATTTAGAAAGCCCAGTACAATGTAGTAATCAATTTATGTGGAAAAGGTAAACAGGCAGGTGAGTTAACCTTTTTACATAGCTTTTAAGTCATACAACATAGTATTCAATAGATAACTGTGTAAAACTGCTTGCAAATTAGATGACAAATAACCCATTTCACTCGTGGATAATGGACATAACTACTTTGACTGTATTAAGTTGTTTAATATCTAACACTTAAGCGAGTCAAATACAGGTCCTAATATTGATCCCTGTGGAATTCCAGTTTTTGCTACATATAATAATTTAAATTTTCATTGCAATGGAAACAGGCGTTCTAGTAGACACCAGGGACTTCCTTTCTAGGGTATACCTGGTTCCCCGGCTATTAGTACCCGAGACGGCGTGCGGTTTTAGTCGGTTCGAGTCCGACATGCCACCGATAGGTGGTATCCGAGGGGATTTCCGCACGGAAAAAAAAAAAGGCGTTCTAGTAGATACGAAAAATGTCACAGGAAGTAACTTTAACAGGTTAGTTTTTAATTTCTAAGGCTTTTATGACAGTCATTTTCTTTTTACTCTGTGCTGTGTTCTCTTTATCATCCTCTAGTGATAACAAGTTTTAACTGTTATGAATCTTAGTCAAATATTTTAAAACTATATTACATATTTGATATTCAACAAGTAGTAAATAGGTTTATGTGGGTAAAAAATTGGTTGCCTGTAAAGTCGGTATACGGGCGAAAGTTTTACGTGACAACGACTTTGAGTGGTAAAATAATTTTAATGTGAATATTCATTCGTATAGTAGGAAGAAGGATGAAATAATAGTAACAATTTAAAACATTTATTTATACAAAGAATTATATTTAAAAAAGGGACGCGTGCCTTTCACTTTTTATGTCTGTCTCTCTCGCTCTTAGGCGGGCTAACCATGCCCGAGTGGAAGGGACGCGTGCCTCTCACTCGCTCTCATTGTGAGCGCATAACGTGAGCGGAGCGTAACGCAGTTTCTTGAAGTGTCACCCGGCAAACCAATTTATAAGACGTTGTCACGTCAAAATTTAATATGGTTATCTCGTGAGAGATGAGAGACACATTTAAAATGTCACATCACACAGTCGTTTGTTATCGACAAGACAAAGGGCATTGGCAGAATGCCAGGCACTAAATATTTCATTGAGGTATAGTCAACCATAGAGTAGAAACTTACATTTTATTATTTGACTTGATTTGATCTGTTTGATTGATAAAGTTGTAATTGATGTGGCAATATTCTTTTAAAATTCATACATCAATATATTACTACTAACGGACAGCACAATTTCCGATTTTTAAAATACCAATATAAGCTAAAAATATTGATGTGGTTTATTAGTGTTATCCTTAGCTTAATTTTAAGAATGATTTCAGCAAATATTCTATGCTTAGTACCTGTGCACCCTTTGGACTAGAAACTTTATTCCATCGCAAAATCACAGGTTTTACAAGATCATCATGATTTTAAAAAGAAAATTGTTTGCAGCTTCCGTGTTGCCCATAGTTAAAAGTTTGATTTAATGTTTCATTCAGGAGTAAACTAACGATTTAATGTCAAACCAACACATAATTATTAACATACTTACATTGACTTAACTACACAAATAAATCTAGAGACATTTTTAAAATATTAAATGAAACTTGGTATTGTATGTATATTGATGCTTAAAAGGTAATTCTAAATCAACAACAAAAAAAACACATAAAATGAGTCACAGGTATATGTAACAATTTAGAAAAAATTAAACAATTCAATTGCGTCAGACATTTTAAGTAATGTTTACTTTTCAAGTCCAAATTATAATGTGGTTTTGAAAACACCATAATTTGGTATTTTGAAGCTGATCAAAAGTCAAACTATCTGGTATTTGGTATCTTGACGCTGATCTAAAGTGGAGCTAGAAAGTGTCTGACCACTTCAGTGGCTACTAGACTCTTTGACCCATGATTAATTTTATCATCATCATCATCATCATCAACAGCCTATAATAGTCCACTGCTGGACATAGGCCTCTCTTTAGGAGGAGGTTTTGGCCTAATAAACCATGCTAATTAATTTAACCATGCTAGTTAATTTTAAAAAGTCACAAATAAATTCTTGCTCTGTAATCCCTACCCAGAATTGAGAGGATTTAAGTGTTTTTTCAGTTTTATGAAACCATCGTTTTTATCTTTCACAGTTAACTCATCAACCTCCAACATTCTACTGCTGGACATAGGCCTCTCTTTAGAAAAGAGGTTTTTGCCAACTATGCCACGCTGGCATATAGGCTTTGTTTCTAGTTCTTCTTCTCTTTGCAGTGCTATAGTGCCCTCCCTTAGTCGGCTCTTACGTCATCCGCATGATAATAGGTGTGCTGACACTATTCTTAATCTGTCACCACACGGACATATTTAACTACAATAATATAATGATATCTACAAGATAGGACGATCAACACAGTGGTTGTCTTGTAGCTATGAAGAAAAAAAATTATACTTAAAAAATATTTGAGTTTTCTTTCTGGCACTTTATGAATCCGCATTTGGCTTAACATAGGTTAAATAACCTGAAAAGTGAATAATTGTAACTTCATCCAAAAATATGGTTATGATTGTTGTAGACTTATATTTCCGTTAAGTACTTGGCGAGATTTAATTTCACATTCTAAAAACTTACTTACTTACTTAAATGTAATATGAATTTGACCAATATCACAAAGATTTAGGTTATTAAATTTTAACATATTTTATAATCAGAATGATCCTTTTTATTTGTACTTCTGCTCAGATTTCCAAGTAGCAATAACTAGGAAGATGTTTCAAGAATCCTTATAATGCAATACAATTTAGCATTTTAACAAAATACATTTTTTTGTAGGATAACTGTAATTTTTTATTAATCAATTAACATTTTTCTACATGATGAGTTTTTATATAGGCAGGAAGCTAATAGTGTAACTTTATACAAAAGAGTATATAATAGGTAATAATGTGCGAATTAGTAAAGAAAATAGAAATTAAAATAATTAAAAAAGACTACAATATAAAAATTTACATTGCCTATTTATTGGAATAGTGATACCTATATCAAACGACCAATAAAGTGTGAAATAGTTAAATGCTAATAAGACAACAAAAGGAATGCTAAACTAAATTTTCATAGACTCACTTTACAGACGAAACTTATTATAATTCTACGATAACAGAATGTTACTAATTCTGATTGATAGCAATTTAAGCGGAAAAATACGAATTCGATAATGTACCAATGTAAATATGTTTACAGTGCTACAACTCAGTATTTCGAGGTCACATCTCAGCAGTGAAAACCATAGACATTCGAGGTGGTACCTAATCTGGCAAAAATAAATTTAATATTGCGCTAAATAGCGAATATAAACAAACTTACTTGTAAAATGAGAAGCTGCAGACTACATCGTATTCTAAATTGCAGCCTTCAACCACGCACTTTAGTGCGCTCATTATGGAATAACACCGCGTTACCAAAAATGGACACCTCACGTTCACATCATTGTAACTAATATAAAACTAAGAAATAATAACATTTAGCGCCTAAACCAACTTTCAAACAAACTAATTTGATGGATCTTAAGAAAATTATCAATCAAATGTCGAAATTGACGTGCTGTCACGAAAAGTCGAAAATTTTAACAAATGCGTCAAACGCGTGCCATGAAATGGTGATGTAATTCGGCGCCAAAGTGTACTGGCAACACAGAGACGTGATTCGATTTATTTGATATGAAGATATGATGCACATAAAATAAAAATTTAATATTAAGTGTTTAAGTAAAAATATATTTTAAGTAAATTATTCATTTCTTTTTGTGACATTATTATTAAATAGCTCAAGGTTAGGTTTTGGCGACAAAAAATTTTTTATTAAGAACTTACAAAATAAATAGATGCTCAATTCAAACTAGTGATAATAAAAAAATACAGAAACCCTTGAAATTACAGAATATGAATGGTAAGAACAAAAATGATTTATTTTTCAAATTCAGGTTACCACTGATTTAGCTATCAAATAAAATCTTATGATAGACATCTCGTATAAAGTATTTTTTAACATTCTTAGCCATAGTGTGAATTCAACGTAAAGAAATGGTCTTTGTGGTCCATTTTTATAATAAATGGTGTTTTAACTTATCAAAAACAATAATAATTAAAGCAAAAATATGCGACGTTGAAGCTATATCATAAGCTTAAACTATTGAATGTGAAGTGAAATATATAATATGTAAATTTTATTCATTTACTCCTAAATTTTATGTCTATATGGATAATAATTTTTCACACTATGACTAAGTAAATGTTAGTTTTATATATTTTAAAGTTTCTGCACCAGTCGTTTGGACTTTGGACAGAAAACGAATTTAGTTATTCTGCTTAGGTTACTTATGTTCATTGACTTAAAAAGTTCAATGAAAATATAAAATGACGTTAGTTAATCCAATAAGTATTCTAAATAGTATTTGCATTGAAAAATTTGAGTCTTTATCAGACACGATTTTTCATAGATTTAATAATCGATTGTCTCTAAAATTACTTACCAGTTAATAATATTCACCATAAATAACAATTCGGTTTTCATTGTCTATGAAAATTTTTACTCTCTCTCTCTCTCTTTGATGATTATTATGGTTTTTTTATTTATTTGGGGTAATAAGTTGATCTTAATATAAAAATTTCTAAACCATGTTCCTATGTATCACTTTGTTTTATTTAAAAATATATTTCTCATTAACTTAATAACTGGGTCACCATCGACAATTTCAATAGCGGAAGTAGCGTAAAACCTCTGCAACCAATTATCCTGAATACTTTTTTATATACCTATATAAACCATGTAGTTTAAAGTTTCACTATTTATTATGTTAGGATTTTTTTATAGAACGCACTTTAATGTAGTGTCACTATTAATGTCATCGTTTTGCCAATATTGTCATCAATTGTCACAACCAACTATGTTTATTGTTTGTTAAAGACATACAGGGCTGCCAGATTTACAGATAAATATAAAATATTTGTATGAGATTATCATGGGTACCTTTTGTATATCATACGAGTATTACTCGTACTTTGTTCAGGCAGCATACAATATTATACTTCATATATCTTGATATCAGATAATTAAGTTAAAAATGTTTAGTAGATAATCATAATAATGATGTAATTGTTAGTGATTATAACTACTTATTATAAAATAGTCCCTCGCTCGCTGCGTCAGTCTGAACGCGATACGATTTATCATTAACTTTTAGGTGTATTGTCTGTTAAACTTTTGCAACCTGTAAACCTGTCTCCTGGTTTATTATAGTTGCGGAGGTAGCACAGAAGAAAGTCCAAGGCCTACGCAAGATTGTAAATGACTAAAATGTATTTTGTGTAGAGAATTCGATCCCGGCCTCCTTTCACTAATGCCGGGATAATAAAATTCGAAGTCTTGAAAATTTAGACATTTAATTTGATCAATCTCAGGTTTTACGGGATAAGTAAACATTTTATAAAACGTTAAAAAAATGTAGAGGAAAACTGATGGGGTGGAGGTACTAGTGTAATTGTGATTAAGAAATGACTTTAATAGGGAATATTGTTTTAAATATAATATTATAAAAGGACTATTATTTAACAAACTTAAAACTCATCAAGTACATAAGTCTTAGGCTCAATTCACATGAAGAGCGCACGTTCGCGTCTCAACCGATTCACGACTTTTGTTACCTAAGTCAACACATTTCTTTTTGCTGCGGTAACGTTACTTTAGCAGAATCTAACGTTCGTGAATAACTAACTGTAAAGCAGTCGGAGGATGTATTTAAGAGGTCATACACATTTTACTGGAGGAACGCAGACGAACGTTTCGACCAGTTGCCACTGGTCGTTGTAACAGGCTGACCAGCCAGACTCACCTGTTACGTGATTGCTATTTCAAACTTTATGCACAAAATGTACAAGGGCAGACTTAATGCGTTTTGGGATTCCCTACCAGTCTAACGAAGGGTAGTGACGAAATGAGTGATAAGGTGCACTAAACTAAATTAAATAAACATATCTTATGCGTCAAGGCAAAATTGGCTAGGTTTGCCAAACAAGCTCCTTCCAGAAGCGAAGAAGCTTCTAAGAGCGATTTTGCATCAGGTATAATGTAGGCTACACCTTCGCATTCCCGGATTACCTACATGAGCGACCGTTTCTTCTGCTTTGAGACATAATCTGCAAAGAGGTCTGTCTGTCACATTCATGGTGAATAGCTGTAAGTAAATCGTGGCAGGACTTTAGTCAGCACCAGTTTGGAGTTTGGATTGTGTGCTTTACCAGTACCTTTTCCTGCCCAGGAGCGAAGTTGGTTGAATGGCAGTGGCAGAAATCTGGTTAGATGATTAACACCTACCGAACCTATCGTTGCCGAGCCCCTCCTTACCAGGTCATCTGCGGCGTCAATATGTAAATTACTATGGACGTTAATCCATTGGAGAAGTACCTACCCAATTGTTTGTAGTAAGCTGCTCCAAAACTTGATAGTATTCAAAGACAATAATAGAGTTAGTGTTGCCCACTTTTGCTTTTAGGACAGAAATAATGTCTAACAGTAATCAGATGTTTTATTAACATTTATTTTATAGTTTTATATATAAAAGAAGAAACTGTTCGACTGATTCACTTGTGCAAAGTGAGGGTTGGAAATTCATATGAAACTTCATTATATTTGGTATTAGCGTATAGAAACTCACAGTAAATACTCTTTATTAAAACTAATAAAAAACGTTGATACTAGTTTTTCATAAACTTCACAAATTTACCTTAGGTGACGTTAGTGTGCACTAAGAAGAGATTTTTAAAAATTCCACACTAAGGGTGTAAAATGGGGATTGGAAATTATTATGAAATTTCGTTATTTTAGTAGTTTGCACTCACAAGTGTAGTACTCACAGTAAATACTTTATTAAAAGTAATAAAAAACGTTCTTACTAATTATTCAAAACTACCCTTATAAAGGTAAAAAAGTTTGTATGGGGAACTATTTTTTTTAAGTTATCGATTCCAATTCAGTATAATTATATTCTCTATCAAAAATAATGATAATCAAACCTATTTTTTCAACTTTTCAAAATAACCCTGTGAGTAATTAAATAGGGTTGGGAATTTAAACATGTATATTTCAGAGAAAAACCGAGAATACCAAAGATTTATAATGTACTAGCTGAGACCTGCGTTTGTTGTTATAACCGCGGGCAACGCCGCGGGGCGAAGCTAGTCTAAAAAAAGTAGCCTAAGTTACTCCTTATGTCATCAGCTATCTGCCAGTGAAAGTCCCGTCGAAATCGGTCCAGCCGTTCCAGAGATTACCCGGAACAAAGAGACAGACAGACAGACAAAAATTGTACAAAATGTTTTGAGATGTACCTACCGTGTAAACATACATACCGTAAAACGGGGTTAATAGAAACAATCTAGACTTTCAAACCGACTTTAATAATATAAATTGTAAGTTTCGGGTAATAAAGCTGCTTTCATTGTGGGAGTCTTATGTTATTTTACAAGCCAATTACAATTTTAACGCCAAATTATTATCTACCTAGGAGAAAAAGACAAAAACCTGGTCAATTTCTATTTTCCCGGAATACGGGGTCAATAGATACGACGTAAGGGGTTAATAGAGAAAAGTGATAGGGTTGTCAAACTATTTTATATTAGGTAGTATGACGTCACAGACATAATTAAATAAAGAGTGTACATAATATATTAGAAAACCTTTTTATTAATATTAAAAATAAAATAATCCCAACCTATAACAATGCTTATTAAAAAATCAGTTCAAAAATAATGGTACTTAACCTTAGAATTGAGATCACCAAAAAAAATAAGCTTACTTAATAATTATTAAACGTAGTAAAATTATATTACCTACTCAATCTGAAACATAATAATCAGTTCAAAAATAATTTTAGCCTCAGAATTAAGACTACAAAACAATTAAGCTTAATTAATAATTATTAAGCGTATGAAAACTATATTACAACACAGTCTGAAACATAATAATCTTCTGACAATAATCAACAAAACAGTGCAATAATCAGTTCAAAATAATTAAGTACACAAAATGAGTATTTATTAAAAATTTTAGGATGTCAACATAGTGTTAATTCTGGAATGTTATTCTTAAATGGCTCTTATCACAAACTCAATTTTTTTAATACGAATATTTTTTTTAATCAGTATCAGACATTAAATCGGATAATATGTCCTCGTCATTTCTGTAATAATTTCGATGTTTTTGTTGTTTTCTTTTCATTTTATTATCATATAATATTTTTGCTAATTGTTTAGGATCTGTAACTGAAATATCAGATAAAATTTTAATTTTGTTATTGCTTTTTATTTCATTACTTGAAATCATGGCATCAGAACTGACATTTAAATTGTCAATCGTTTCAAAATGATCAATAACAACATCATCACCAAAAATAATTGGTACCTTTTCTATATCTAAGTAATCATTAGCCTCACATGTACTCAAAGACTGTGGTAATAAGGCTGTTTCTTCTTTACAGAAGCTTGTGCTTGGTTCAGAGGTTAACTGACTTTCATGATCGTAAAACATCTGAGACGTTCCAGCTTCAAGATCATCTTGTAAACATTTAGCGGCGAGAGATTTCGTTTCATCTGTTACATTTGTTTGTGCTTGTGTTTTTGATTTCTTTCCAATTCCCTTTCCTTTCTTTGTTATTGGTTCGTTTTGCTTGTTATTGTCTTTACTTTCTTTATTTGTCTTCTTATTTTTTTTCTTTGGCTCTTGGTTCTCGATTTCTGTTACAGCATAACTTTCTTCAAGACTAACGCTCTTTCCAGGTTCTACTTCCATTTTTCTTTTTCTTTTAGGTTCAGCGACATTTATGGTTCCATATCTCATTTCTTTTAGTATTGTTAGAACAGATTCATTGATAGTTTCTGTTTGATGGCTAACTCTGTCATATCCAGGTAATCTTTTCAGTACTTGTGTAGGGTCCAGTGGATTTATTCCAGTTTTTTTAAATCCTGATAAAATATTTTCTTTAGCATTGTGTTTTAGGGCGTCTAAAAGCATGGATAGTAGACGTGGAAAACATCCTTTTGGAACCGATGCTTGTTGGCGACCATCGGTTTTTTTCCATTGATACAAAATATTGCGCCAAGCTATTTTCATGGGCCTGAAAAAGGCAACATCCAATGGCTGTGTGATGTGGGTAGAATTAGCTGGCAAGAATACGAAACTTATGTTTTCTTCATGGCACAGTTTAATTAGATCTAATGAAAGGTGCGACGATAAATTATCACCGATCAATATTTTTCTTCCGGATACTCCTTGAAAATAGGGTATGATTACCGATTTAATCCAGTCTTGAAAAATGGTTCCATCAAACCAACCTGACTGTGATCTATTGTAACGAGTCCCTTTTGGCCCCTTAACGGTCCAAGTGTCATACAAATGTTGTGCTTTATAGACAACATAAGGAGGCAGTAATTCTCCCTCAGCTGTGCACGCAATCATAATAGAAACGGCAGACTTCGAGTGGTTCATCACCCGCTCTGGATATTTCACGCCTTTTTTTGTAATTATTTTCTTCCGCCCAGGATCATCCGAAAGATTCGTCTCGTCGTAATTTATAATATTGCACATAGGTACGCCTGATAATGAAATTTCTAATTCTTCAAAGTATTTTTTTATTATTTCAGGGGAAACAGCAGCCCGATTTCGCTTTATATTTTGCGATAATCTCTGAGAAATTGCATCTTTGTGCCTTTTCATAAAAGAGGAGACAAAATCTGGTCCAGGCATATTATTATTAAATCTCTTTTCATTCACACCTAATTTATCAAGATAGACCTTAACAAGTACTCTTAAATCATACGCCTCCAAAGGATAGCCCCAGTCAGCACATATATTTATGTATTTAATAAATTCTTCTTCAGTTTCTTTGGATAAAACAGTTTGACCTCCTTGACTTTTCATATTTTTTGTGCAGTGTCTGTATAAAACAGATCTGTGTATATTATATTTCTTTGATATAGTATCAAGAGAACAATTACTCGCAGAATATTCATTAACTGCCTGTTCTATTAAGTTTAAGTCATATTTTATATATTTCTTACCCCGAGGGTCTGGTTTGTAGTTGCGTGGCATATTGCTCGCAACTATACCTGCGTACACAAAATCAATAATTAAATATTAAAAAATCAACTTTTTAAAAATGTAGGTAGGTAATAAAGTTAAAACTCAACAACCTGCATAAAGTGCCAACCCTACCAAAAGCGTTTCTAAAAACCCCTTTGGCGTTTCTATTAAACCCTTTCTCGTTCCTATTTACCCCTTTCCCGTTTCTATTCACCTCATATGGCGTTTCTATTCACCCCTCAGTCGTCTCTATTCACCTCTTAATCGAGAAATATTTATGGGTGCAGTTATTTTACTAATTTACCAATAAAAATCAAACTAATCAGTAAAACTTACCTTTTCAATTTATTCTGGATACACTTCACCGTCGAATAAAGTTATTTTACTATCAAAAACAATATTTAAATAATAACTAGAGAGAAGTTAATAAGAGCACAAAAGACACACACGCAACCGTTGCACTTTGAACTCACTTTTTTGATATAAGTTGCTAACTTCATACTATGCATTTAGTAAAAATCGGTTATTTTAATATTACAGACTCCAATTTTATTTATTTGTATAGAAGATGTACATCATACATTGCAACCCTGCGAAGCCGGGGCGCGACGCTAGTCCACTTGACATGACTGCTGTAGCGGCGTAATGTCACTGCAGCACATTCGCATTGGAATATGGAACATGTTGGGCTTACACTCTAGTGTTAAGTATATGTTTAGGTCTCGTGATCGTGATAAATCTGCAGTTCCTGACGACGTTTAGAAACTGACCGTGTTCGTCGATTGTTCTCGGTCATTTTCATGCAACTGAATGTGGTATCCTTTTGTGAAGATAGTGTTTTAGGATACATAATTATGTACTTCTACGCGAAAACAAATCCGTGTGGTGTCGGATTAAGAATACAGTGTCACCACCCCTATTCATCCCGAGGATGTCGTAAGAAGCGACTAAGGGAGTAAACTACGCAGAACAACCACACTGCAAAGAGAAGGAAAACTTGAAACAAACCCTATACCAACCCGTCCGGCCAGCGTGGTATAGTAGGCCAAAAGCTCCTTTCTGAGGAGAGGCCTATGTCCAGCAGTGGACTAGTAAAGGCTGTTGATGATGACGATGACGAGAAAAGAGTCAACATGTAATCATGTCGTTACAGTGTTCTAAAAAATAGGTTTAATATAGTAAAACACAAATGTGTCAGTATATAATTTTATTATCTCCTTCACTTAGCAGCAGGTTTGGCTACTTTGCTATCCTTCGCTGCCTTCTTCTTAGGCGGTGGTGGCGCTGTCTTCTTGGCAACAGGCTTCTTCGGCTTCTTGGCCAGCGCGGCCTTGATGGCCTTGCGCCTTTTCAAGCGAAGCTTTTCGGCCTTTACCGCTGAGTCGCTCTCCGGGAGCTTAATCTGTGTACATAGCATTTATTATTGCCTTGCTAGGGTAAATGTCGGTGTTAGGGTAAAACAAGGGTAAATTCAGTATGTGTCAACGTGATTTGAGTAATCATAATTAATCATAACCCAATGCTCTGAAAGAGAGTATCATCATTTGGAATCTTTGTCTTTATATATATCTAATATATATACTCGTGTCACGGTGTTTGTTTACGCACTCCTCCGAAACGGCTAGAATGATTTTAATGTTTTTTTGTATATTTGATAGTTATGAGAATAGATGTTAAGTAGCCCATCCCCATTTTTTTAATATGGCAGGACATGGTAGGCGCCATTTAAAATATGGTAGGTATAATATTTTATTTGTATTCTTTTTTTTAAAATTTACACAGAAGCATAAAGACGAATACATGTAATTTACTAGAGATAGTGCACTTACTCCACGCTTTTCAGCTAGGGCCAAGGCCTTAGCGTTATTCCTTCTGTCTTGGTCCAGAACTGCTTTCCTTCTCAGCACAGCAGAGAATGGGTTTAATCTCAGCATAGCCTTGGTGTTCGTCAGGGGGTTGAGCTTACGGGTGGCGCGAACCACACGCTTGCTGCAAACAAATTGATCTTTGTTAAAAGAATATTGAGGTAAGGGTCTCCAATAGTGTTAGGGGGTAAATATCAGTATGTGTCAACGTGTTTAAGGTAATCATGGTGATTCATAACCCAATGCTCTGAAAGAGAATATCATCATTTAAACTTCCTCATGAAGACTAAAATGTAAAAAAACAACTGAAATATTCATAATACTAAAATGTCTGTTCTCTTTTTCGAACATCATACAAAATAACTAGACATTTTGAAATTTTATTTCATAACTATTTTAAAACTGCCATAAACATTTTAGTGTTATGTTAGATAATGGAATAGGTATATAAACGATTTATATAACTTAATTTTGTTACAAATTAGCAAAATACTGTAAAAGCAATGTACCCTTTTTGTACAAAATTCTAAAAAAAAAAATAACATACTTGGGAGCGCGGAGCACCTTCCTGATTTCATCAGACTTGAGAAGGCGGGTGAGGTCTGTGTTCGCCATCTTAGGCTGGGGCAGATTGAAGTTCTTCTTTTCCTTTGATGGAGTCTTCCATGATCCAAACAGGGCATCTGTATTTAGAAACAGCTATGTTATACTTGAAGTCAAATATAGACATAATACCTTATCAACTTGTGGTTTTATGGAATTTTACATATGTAACATCTGATCTCGTTAAATCTAGGACAGAAGGAGATTTGAATTGACCAATGAGAACCCACGGTGCTGGAGTTGGCTGTCAGATAGTAAATGAAATGTCAGTTTTTAAAGACAGAATAGTTTGGAATTTTACCAAACAATTTGAAAAAAAAAAAAAAAACGATTAGAAACAAACTGTTTTATGTATGTATACATTTGCATATCGGCAGGATGTCTATTGCGTTAATGAAATTCTTAATTACCTAAGATAAAGTTTAGACTTCCTGACATGTTTTTCTTTTAATTCACGATAGCAAAGTGGTATTGGGATTAACATAAACTGTACTCCCGTGACGACACACTGACTCTCTTATCATGAAGGTCAATGCTTCCTTAGGGAATTTTGCTGCTGTACCCCCAGTATGTGTAACTTTGACATGAATGAAACATGTCAAGTAAGGCTTATAGGGGTCATAGAGGAAATGGGCATAACGTGCCACGTCGGTCACGGTTGCATTAAGAACATCTGTGGCAATAGTTACGGATAGTTGGCCCAAGTCCGAGAACAGTCTTTCTACAGAACTTACATATTGCATAGGTTGATCCATTTATAAGATTGAGGTTCAGCCGTGTCTTGTTCTTTAAACTTTCTTCAATTTTATCTAAAAACTCTGACAGCCAGAAATATCTTTTAGACAGTAAATTAGCTATAAATAGTTTAAACAATTTTATACAATATACCACTATATTGATATATATTTGTGTATATAGATACTCACCAAGCCTGTCAAAGGCAGACTGGGTCCAGATGACGAAACGGCCAAGGTGACCACCTGGGGCAAGCTTCAGAAGATTCAGCTTGTCTACATTGAGCATTTCAATGCCAGGGATGTTACGGAATGCGCGAGTCAAACCCTGATGAGAGACACAAGTTTTAATGCTTATTTAATGCTCTTTTTAGCAGTAAATATTATATTTTGTACAAGTATCTTGGTATGTATGTGATATTTCTTTGTGAAAAGTTGTTTGTTGAGAACTTGACCAGCTATTGGCTATCATAAAACAATTAAACGAGACTTCAGCCTCTTTGAGCTCATGTAGTCTCTAATTTACTTTCTTCTCGTCTTGTGAGAGGATGAGTATTTTCCAAAATATGGTTGGCATGAGGAAGGTGCCCAGCAATAAGAGGAACGAGCTTTTGCAGATATACACATGGCACCCAACTAACAACTATAAAGTACTAGCAATTGCCCACGGCTGCGCTCGCGAGATTATTAATTGACTGGCCTGTTGGTCTAGTGGTTAGTGACCCTGACTGCTATGCAAGAGGTCGTGGGTTCGATTCCCACCCAGGACAAATGATTGTGTGATAAGCAAGGTCATTTGTTGTGTCTGGGTGTAATTTATCTATAATATGTATGTATTTAGAAATATATAAGTATGTTTATCAGCAGTCTGGCTACAATAGTACAGGCTCTGTCTAGTTTGGGATCAGACAGCCGTGTGTGAGAAGAGAAAAAAAACCTTAATTGGTGTTTCTATGCAACCATTTATCCCTTATTTAACTCCCTCCCCCTAACCTAATCCTTTCTTCGTGGATGCTTACAACATAAAAGCATGAGCTGCCAAAATTTCAAGTTCCTAGCCCTAGCTAGTTCAGGCTCTGCATTGATGTAACAGTAAGTCAGGGCAAGTGAATTTAATATGTATTTAGTAAGAACTTGTTGCCATGCGAACATCTGTATGCGAAAAGACCAAAATCCATGTCCAGCAGTGGACTGGATATGCTGATGATGTGTAAGAACTTGTTGCGACACTTATGATCTACGTCGCGTATGAACACGCGCAGTTCGGTTGTGCCGCGTTCCTCTAACCCTGCGGTTGGTAGCTGCAGTTGACGGCAAATACAGCTCATATGTAGCTAGGGTACAATGGCATTGCAGAAGATAAACTTACGATTTTTGATGCTTATAATCATAATCTATCAAAACTTTATTTTGTTGAAATTTAAGAAACAGACGGCTAATCTTCTAAGAATGTGTAATATAGAAAAAACAGTTAAGTTCCTATCACTAACTTGAATTGAAAATAGGTGAAGAAATAGATCTCAATGTAATCTATTTGTTCTAATAATAATATTTGTTAAATATTGGTTATTACATAGGTTATACACATAAACCTCAATGAGAATAACAATTTCAATTAACAAGTTACTCAATATTGTAAACACTAATGAAAAATTTTATTACTCATTTTGAAGCCATTTTATATTTTAACGCCGCCATTTTGTTTACAATTCAAAGCAGTTTCAATTGCTTAAAATTCATTCAAGTCTGTTGGAAGTCCCGAAAAAAAAAAACGTTTAAATTAAAAAGGCTTGAAAAGGATGGGCTCTTATGTGGTAGCCATAGTTACCTGATCCTTGTGGTAGATGATGAGGGGTCCTTTGCGCTGAACACGACGGCGATTGCGCATCTTACCCTTGCCGGCGCGGAGGCGTTGAGACTTGTACACCTGATGAAAACAACTGAACTCCAGTAATCATGGCACAGGTTATGTGTTAAGAGTTTAAGGGTTGGTATACGTCAATTAATGTACCTAATAGTATTTCTTAACAATGTTGCTAGGCAAGCTTTTTAATACGGTATTTTACCCTATTAGAGAAAAAAATCTAAAATTTAGTTGTAAGATTTGTTGTAGTTCATAAAAAAAGCCGCCATATTATTTTTAGTATTATTTATTATTATTATCTTTATTTCTTCTTTATTTATCATTCTTTATACATATAAATTACATTTTTAAATATATTTATATACAAAAACAAAAAAAAAAAATTTAAAAATATAAAAAAATAGTATCCCATCGGTATCGGGTACAGAGACCAAGATATCGGTGATTAGGACTCCAGAGACAGAAACTTCCTCACAATACGTGCCGTATCGTTATTATTATTATTCAGTGCATTTTTATGAACCAGCGGGCAAAGGAGCAGATCTGTCACTTGATGCTACGTGAATGCCGCCGCTCATACGCACAAGTTAATAGGCGCAAAAAAAAGTGTACCCACCCACTCACTAAATATAATAATACTACATAACTAACAACTTAGAAGGAACTAAAGCAAAGGTAAATAAGAAATGAACTAGTTCTTGTATAGATCTGTTTCCCACAGTCTATATCTGAAATGAAATAATTCAAGCCAGATTGTTGTCTATGGAATATTTATATGGTCTCCATTTTCAACACTCACAGATGTGTGACACACACTAATGATAATTAAAACGAATGGAGACGAGATCGTTCTGTGAATATCAAAGGCACAATCATAATCAGCAGTATTAGACTATACCCTATTCGCGTTAAGAAAATAGTGACGCATCAATCCTTGAAACCTGATTGATCAGGATGCCTCCTTATAATATACTAAACATGTACAGGAAGTTTATTCAATTACTAACCTTGAGAACATCAGACCAGGCCTTGATACGTCTCAGGAAGATGACTGCCTGTTTAGTCTTGTTGATCTCTTGGACCTTGTCAGACACCACTAGGGGCACTTCCGGGATCTTCTCGATGATGTGACCTGATGACAAACATATAGATTAAAAATTTTTGTTCTTATTAGCAATCAGACAATTTTTGACATTTGTTTAAAGCTTGAAGACATTTTTTTAAATTTGTACTATGTCTTAAGGCAAAGAAATTTTATCATTCAATGTTTTATGGCTGTTAAGTCAAACCAGTATCTTTTTATTAAACGTCAAAACGACAACCGCGGTACATTTTTTGTATGAAATACTATGGCGTGACAACATGCCTAGCTATTGTCATATTATTTTTATTTAATGTTGATTTGAAGATACGAAAATAATAATAATACATGATATTGTTTATGTCCGTGTGGTGACGGATATAGAATACAGAGTGTCACCACCCATATTAATCCCGTGGGTGTCGTAAGAGCCGACTAAGGGAGCAAACTACGCAGGACCACCACACTGTTGATGATGATGAAATTTTTAATGGAGGACAATTCAAGCTATACTTTAAGGTGTAAAAATGAATGATTCACGTGAATTAATCAATTACAAAACTAGGAATCTTCCTTTTTAAGTTAATACAAATAGGCAGGCAAATATTATATTTCATACTTTCATTCATGTAAGACTAAACTTATTATTGAATTTTCACAATAAATTATTATTATTATTATTTTAAAAAGACAACGCCCGCATTAGGAATATATTCCTGTGTGGCAGGGGACTTTACAAACATACATGAAACGAACACAAAGAATACCCAGACTCAGAACAACAATTTGTGGATCACGCCTTTTTTGTTTATCTAAATATTGAAACGCGAAAGTAGGTAAATTCAGTAGGTCGAAGATACTTCAAGGCCAGGTAGTATAGTCATACGGTACATACCTCTGGCTTGCACGAGCGCAGGCACTCCGGAGGCGGCCACGGCTGCGGCCACCGCTGCGCGGCGCTGGCGCAGGTTGACGCGGCGGTGCCAGCGGCGCCACGGCTTGGTGGGCGCGAACATGCGTCCTCCGCGACACATGTTACCGAACGCACCCTGACCGGACCTACAGACCAGTGTCTTATTAATGGCCGCTCACCTACACTTTTCATCGTAAAATGTGGAAACAGTTTTAATCTAGGAATGCGAAAGATATTGATAAGATGGTTATAATCATTGCTACTATTAAACAATAATCATATGATTAAATAATTAACTTTAGTCACCGTGATTTCACCTGTCAAAAATCTAAACAAAGAAAAAAACAAATGTATTGAATTTTATTTTTTATCAGACTACATTCAATTTTTTTTAAACCTAGACCTAGTCTGGCGCCAGCGTAATCATAATGATCACGCGCAATAGCGGGTGTGATGCTGATATTTACGTCATGTGATTTATCACAGGTTATTGCAATAAGTCATATGATGAATAGGGTTTTGTGATCTTTATCTGTCCAGTAACCAGATGGTAAGTAACTATCGATGCCTATGGGCCTGCAACTCAAGGATCCCAAGAGCATTGACTTCCTTTGAATCTTCCTTAAGGCTCCATAACCTTAATAAGCTCAAAGCTTAGAATCGGTTTTCTGTTTATGACGTTTTTAACCGACTTCAAAAGGGTTATCTATTCCGATGTTTATATATGTTTTTTTAATGTATATACGGGCAAAGTCCGTCATATATTTCGATTCGTTTTATATATCCGATTTTCAAAATTCTTTTTTTGTTCTAAAAGGAATTCGTTCCAAAATAGTCCCATTTAATTTCGATATAGATTCGATGATGAGTTTCGAATTCTTAACAAAGTAATTCTTCAAAAAATTACAGCATTATCAACCGTTATTGCTCCTAGGTTTTAAGTGCTCTTTGTTAGTATTGTTTTAAGTAGGTTTAACTTAAAAAAAAAAAAAGGATTTATCGTGTCTTCTAATATATCGATGCGTCAATTCAAATAAAAGAGACGTCCGCGCTATTAGAAATTTCATTTATCCCGCCATTGTACTAGCTACAGTAATTGTACCGCATTAGTTTTAAACGGGAATGTACAAAAAAAAAATACTTGACTGGCCTTTATGTCTATTGATGGTGGTGGTTTGACTGTCAAAGGTTGTGAGTTTGATTCCCACGCAGGACATATAATTGTGTGATGACAATGAAATCATTCATTATTTGTAACAGTGTTACACAATTTTTTTGTGTTCCTACCCTAGCACCAATTTCGCTGTGGAGGAACGGGCGTTATGCTCCTCCAACACAAAGGAAGGATCCTCCGACCAGGGCCTCAATTCTGCTAATCTATGTTAACGCCAAGCCTGTCATTTTGAGATGCCATTGACATCGGTCAAAATATCAGTATTCTACTAACATAAATTCATCATCATTATCAATGTTGATATCCACAACATTGCCATACCTGGAAAATTAAATATATCATTTTCTTACAAATTTAAAATGTACCATTTACCAAAATGTTACAAAGACATCTACGACATTTGTATCAGTGACAAGTCATCGCGAGGCCATTGGTCTTACATAGTTAGTAGAATAGGAAAAGTGAAAAACACATTCCATTGACAGTCTATTGATACAATAATAAAATAGCAGAATTGAGGCCCAGGCGAGGTGTTCACGGCTCAGCTCAACAGTTGATGTTGGGAAGTTGTTGTTGTATATTCTAAGTTGCGTATGGTAATCGACATGAGAACTTTTCACATCGCTATTCAGGATTTGCAGTTACTCCGTAGTTTGGTGTCTTCGCTAGATTTCGCTGAAGTATGTTTCTGTGTCGTTGTATGTGACAGTCCCCGACAAAGCGATGTATGATGACAGAGTGAAGAGTCTGCTACTGCAGTGTTTCCTTACCTGTGGGTACCACCACCGCGGACACGGGGGATACGAGCTACGGCACGACCGGTACCCCATGACTCGGCACTGGTTTGGTGACCTGGTTAACAAATTACATCATGTTTTTAAATCGAATCAATCTTAACTTTTTATTTAATGAAACCAGCCTAAAAGTATGGCTGAAAAATATATGTACTCCTGTTCCACCGAAATAACAAATATTAAGTATTCAAAATGGCTGTTAGGTGGGCAAGACCATTACAAAATCATTTTAAATAAAAAATTATCTAAACATAAAATTACTTGCCCTGACTGATTCATCAACGAGCCCAAACCGCTGGGGCTACAAACTTGAAAATTTGGTTGTTGATGCTTTCTATGCTAATATGAGCATCCACGAAGATAGGATTTTTTGGAAATTTAACCTGTGGTAAATACGGGTTAAAACTACGTAGACCAACAGCACTGCAGAGAGAAGGAAAATTTGACACAAATCCTATACCAACCCGTCAGGCCAGAGTGGTATAATACGCCAAAACTTCCTTTCTAAGGAGAGGCTTATGTTCAGTAGTGGACTATTAAAGGATGTTGATAAAATACGGGTTGTATGGAAGTTCATCACTTTCAGTTATAAAAACGAAATAATGACGTGATCGAAGTCGCAGGCAAGAAATCTACTTCAAACACCTTTTTTTTTAAGTGGCCAGCATGTATATGTAGTAAAGACCTTGCACCCGTCCCCACGATGACAGTGAGTCCAGAACGCCATGGCTTTACGTCACTTTAGCACTAATCCGCAGTAACACTCAACAGCATTTGTGGTCCGTTGAATGTGGACATTTAGTGCACAGAAACATGAAAATACGTACATAGTAACTATCTTAACTGTAATCTATATGGAACACCTAATAATATATTATAATTAGTCTAAACTGAACTGACGATACATCAATATTAATTCATCATCATCATCATCAGCCTATTGAAGTCCACTGCTGGACATAGGACATAGGCCATAGGCCTCTCAAATTGCATTTTACTTTTGATAAAAAAAATACACAAAAAGTGTTAAAGGGGCAAATCCCCTGAAGTCTGAGGATTGTGGTGAGCGTCATGAGGGTCCTCCAACGTGCAGCGCGTCTCTTACGAATGTGTAAAACCTTTAATAATATTTTTTTTAGTTTCACTGTCATTCCTTAATTTTCCATTTTTAAATAATAATGATTGAAATGTGTTTTTATTTTTCAAATTTCAATGGATTGTTTGCTTCTTAAAGCGAATTTCCAAAATCTTTAATCAACGGAGTTCTGAAGTAATAAAGATAAATACAATACAACCAAATTTAAAACTATTCACCATAGAGTAATCCCATCAAGTTAGGTAGGTTTAATCAGGATCCCACCTATTTAAGTCACATGTTTGGGACACCATGTGGTTTTAGTCAGTTTGATTCTGACACACCACACCACCGACAACCCTGGTGGGGTGATAGTTCGATAAGTTACTACTAAAAATTAATGGTAAACTTACCAGCCTCCTTGTTCACACAGTATGGCTGTCTGGCATTCTTGGACATGGAGACATGGACGCTGTTGACAAGATCAGGCCTGATGGGTGCCTTAAAAACAAAAGGAAGGGGCAGCGAGGCTCCAGCGACAGCCTCATTCTTCTCTGTGTACACCGACACAAGCGGTCGGGCTATTGATAGACTCTGGAATAAAGAATAATAGTTTTATTATGATGTTAATATTTACTTTTTATGCTATAGGAGGTAATCGAGGTCACCTGATGAAAAGTGACTACTGCTACCCATGAACAACTGCAATTCAGGAATCACAACCTGGCATTTCAGGAAAGACCACACCGTTTCTTGAAGGTCGCATTGGTTCAGAATTACCGAAATTTTAATATTTTTCATTTTTAAAAACAAGATTGTTAAATGGACATATTTACAGCAACTTAAGTTACTTGATGGAAACGGAAGGGCAGAATTATAGATTTTGTTTTATTATTCTATAATTTATACAAGATTTTGTAATTAGCCATTTTGTATGATAGTTTAACCTAGTAGCAACAAAGAAACTCATAAAAGATATTGGTTGGAACATGACGAACAGCTATAATAACTAATAAGAGCAATATTATAAGCGGACAATATGTATATAAACACAAATATTAATAATATTTTTGTAGTAAAAAACTGGAAAGCCAGGCAGTCCAACTGGTTCCTTTAATTGTTTTTTGGGTGAAAGGTATTGATATGAGTTTAGAAATTCACTAAGTTATACTCATGCATATATTTCTCCATTCTGTTTTGTTTTCATAACTTTTTCTCTGCCTATATATGTCCAATTCTAATTAAGGTATGGATGCAAGTAGCGGCAGACAGAAAACAATGGAGTCTTTGCCCATAAGGCAAACTGAAATAAGATTCATATTGTAATTAAAGTGTTCTCTCTTAACTCTGTTCTTTTTCTCTAAGTTTTAATAAAATACAGTGATTTACTAAGATACTGTTGGTCTAGTGGTTAATGACTCTGCTAAGCTGGAGGTTGTGGGTTCGATTCCCAAACAGGACAAAAAATGTGTGATGACCACAGTCATTTGTTCTGTGTGAAGGTGTAATTTATCTTTAATGTGTACGTATTTAGCTATATATAAGTATGTTTATTAGCAGTCTAGTTACCATAGTACAGGCTCGGCCTAGTTTGGGATCAGACGGCCGTGTGTGAGATGTGTGGAGTATGTTATTATTTATGTATAATATTTTTTATCTGTAAATTATTTCAGGAAATAAAGGCTTTAATATTATTTCAATTAAGGGATGCTGTTTGTATTAATGAAAAAAGCTGAAATGAGCTTTCTAATTAGAGCTTAAGTTAACTGAAATGGTTGGGAGGCAATTAGGTGCAAACTTAAGTGCACTTAAGTGTGCAGTATGAACTTGTGGTTTAAGAGTAAAACAGTATAGTTGCAAATTTGCAACATATTATTTTTAAAACAATGATAATAGGAGGTTAACATATTTTACACATGGCTGTCAGACCCAACATTTATTTTGTGGTACGCGAAAGATAGTTTAACAGATGTATTGCTTCCAGACACAGAACAAATGTTCATGTCATTATTTGTCTTGAGATGGGAATCGAACCCACGCCCACAATCAGGTACACTACCAACTGGCCCAACGGGCCAATAATTGTACTCAAAAGTTTATTTTAACTTCATATTACTATTTCATAATTTTAAATATAAATTTGTATTCCTCACGTCGACACATTACTATTTATTGAATAAGTGTAATGTTTCCTAAGGGAATATATTGTTTTACCCCATTATTTGTACCTGGAAAACTATAAGTAGTACGACCAGGAAGAGTAAAGGGGCACTCACACAATAAGTATATCAACAGACTAGTAGTATAGTTGGAGACAATTCTTATAAATCATTGAACGTCACAGTTCCGGTATGAATCTACATTACTCAAGAACATAACCTACAAATAAACATTCATTGAAGTGTTGAAATTTCTCTGTTAAGTGATAAATGAAAATGTTTGCATTAAAAAAAAGCCTAAAAAATATCGATTAGTGTTTATAACAATCACATTTTCAACAAAAATGCTAATAATAAACAAGTCTAATGTAGTCAACGCAACCTTGGCGTTGTTGTACATCCGATGCTAAAATCCGACCAATAACAATATAAATTGGTATAATTTTGTAGAAAGATATTAAATGATATTGTACAAATGCCTATTAGATAAATAAAACTTACGAAACATCGATGAAAACTGCATTTTAATACGAATTTCAATAAACACGTGTTCCGACCACGGCGTTAGCTTTGATTTAGAAAATCACTTTCACCACGTCAAATGGATACACTAATTTGTAATATCATTTTAAAAGCACATCGATTTGTAATAAACTTACCATTTCGCTATATCAGCGAAGTTATTCCTCCAAAAACACACTACAGGCGGCGGTATAGACCATCCGCCATGCCACGGAGAAATAAAAAGACCGGATATCATGATTGGTTTTTGACATTTTAAAAAGGCAGTGACCACACCAAAAAATTAAGGGAGCTCTACTTTCCGGTGAAATTGATTAGTTTACTAAAATAATTTGTACAAATATTTAAAACCGTTGATACTTTCATCAAATTGAAAAATAAATTATGGATAGATTATTTCATAACCCTCATGTCTTCATGAGATAAAGCAAAATCGTTTCGGACTCGATTGTAAAAGCCGAAGTTAGAAAAATAAAAATATAAAAAAAGATTTAAACAGATTTCCAATCATATCATCAATGATGAATGACACTTAATCTATTCCTGCTAAAGCTAAGATATCTGCTAAGTGTTGAAGGTAAAGATTGTTCCGTAATCTTCGTTTAAGCAACAAGTAGTCACAGGCTTTCCTTAAAGACTTTTCGAGTTAGAAATATACATTTACAATCCTACTCAGAAAATCTTATATTTACGGATATGTTTTATCTGAAATTCATTAAAAATTAAAAGCTACAGCGGGAGCCTGCAAAAGCCTGGCGCTGGCGTGTATATTTCTTGAACGGCTATTAAATATCTTAAAATAAAAGTAGTATTCCTTGAAACTACAGCGACATGCCAGTGTAAGTTCAGAAAATATATTAAACAAATGCGGAGATTAACTGAAACTAACATATAAATCAAAAGACAAGCACAAATTTAAAATCATTTATGTTCTAGAATGTTGAATTTATAAATAAGTAAATACATCTTTTTATTGTAGTAACCATGAGCAATCGATTTTATGTTAGTAGAGACAATTTACAATATTTTATTTATGCACTTCATGAGAGACGGCGCTGCAGTGACCAATGTACAATATAATTTCATTTATTTCAAAAATATAGATTGGTAAATCAGCAAAGTAAATAAGAAAAATATCATCAAGAAGAAAATATTTTTAAGGAAAAAAAGAGGTTGAACCACCATTAGTAATGGAATTCCCTATTCATAAGCAGCTGTTATTGTTGTCTGTATTTTAATTGATTGACATATGATTAATCACGCTATTGACACATTGAACGATCGGAATGGATTTTATTTACATACGTCTTCTCAATAAAGTTCGGTTAATATTTTAAAACGTAAAGATAATCGAGAGTGATGCGTTCTTATTAATTTGTAAGAAGCCAACAGTAATGTGTACTTCCCTACATATTATGTACATGTTTATAAATGAGATAGGACTATGTATACATATATATATATTAAAAATTTAATTGTTCAATAGGTCGAATGGACGATAACAACGCGCCGAAATGCAGTCACGATCCAGATCAAACTCAACAAGATCAATCTGTTTCAATTAACTCAATACTATTGCCTTTTAAAGAGGTGAAAACACCAACTTCCTTTAACCTGCTTGCAAATACGATTTCAAATTATTCGACTACTACTTACTTACAAAACCTTCAAGCACCATTGACGATTAAGGCTTCTGATCAAATGCCAATTGCTACCCAACCTCGTCTAGCTAGTACGGTTTCGCCAATTTCAATTACAAATTGTCCTCAAACCTTATTTTTACAAGCATTATCAAAATTAAATGAAAGTTCTTTAAACTTTTCTCTTTTAAATTACTTACAATCAAATTTGGGTAAAATCACATGGCAAGCTGGAGATATTACACCTCCAGATTCTTTAACCAGTGCACCTCCATCTTATTCTTTTGTTTTACGCCAAATGGCAGCTAGAAGAAGGCCTAGGCTCATGGGAACGTTCATTCCTTCTCCTTCATTTGTACAGCATACTCCACCACCTACGTATGCTACAGCATTTGATATTTATATCGACCCTGGGCCGCCTCCACCACCTAGAGTGTACACTTTTGGTTTTACTTCGATGCCAGTAGTCTGTCCCGAATGTGGGTATTCAGGGATGACTATTACAACTTGTAAAATAACCTTGTGTACTCATCTATGTGCATTTATTTTATGCCTCTTTTGCTGTTGGATTTGCGCCCCTTTGCCCTATGTTTTGCGGTCATGTAAAGATGTGTATCATTATTGTAGAAATTGTAGGAATTTCATGGGTATGTACTGTCCAACAAATCCTGAAACATCATATCCAACACGGTGATAGCTAGCTCTGTTAGATCAATATAAATATTAATGTGAATGATGTACCATTGCTTGAATTTATATCTCATTAAAGTCTCATCTTTAGTAATGTTTTATATAAATAAAATGGTTACTATACGCTTGTTTTAGTTTTACATTTTAAGTGTTGAGTTGGAAATTATTATTATATTTACGAATGTCTTTTTATAAATTTAATTTTTTTGTGATATTAAAAATGTTTTCTTTGTTTGGTATCTTTCTCTTTTGATATAATTCGAATTGATTCAAGAGTTTCAAGACGTAGTCATGTCATGATGCGAAAGTTCATAGACAATAATTTATACCTTTTAAATGCAAAACATTGACTTCATGTTTTTGAAATATTTTTAAATGAAATAACTATTTATTTACTTATTGCGTAGTTTTGGTATATATTTTCTATCAGAATAAATAATATTAACTTACAAACAGTAGCAAATTTTACAAAATTTAATTTTGGTTATAATGCGTTCGAAATTATATGATAAACCCCAATAACTTGGATCATTAAATTGAATTAACATTGTCCATTTCTTAATTTTTTCATTTTTTATAATAACAATACAATAAGTAGAAATTAAATAATCCGCTAGAAAATCAATATTTGATTTTGGAGAGGAGATAATTAGCTTTTAACTATGAATGCGTTCACAATCAATGATGTTTAAACGCCCTCTAGCGCCAAAATGTCCTGTGTAAAATTAGAAGTCACAGCCTTCCGTAAGTTCCGTGTGTGTTGCGGAAAAATCCCTTTTTGGGCGTCCGACCACATGTGTGAATAGTGAACAAAATATGGTTCTATTATGATTTTATGTTATTAGAAGCTTCTTTCTTAGTGTTCAGTACACGACATCGATAGATTAAGTGCGTACGGATCTTTTAGTGTGCCAGTAAAGTTGGAACAAGTCAACGGAAGTGCATTTTTTTCGATGTAAATACAGTCTAACCAGGGTCAATCCGGTGTGGTACGAGAGGTTCGCGCATATTTCTCAGCGACCAACCGTGTCTGTGCGCCACTGAGACGTGTGATTTACTCGTGTATAATTCGACCTTCGCACTGTTCGATCGGGCCGTGTACATCGGGAAAGTTCGTCGCGATTTGGGTTAACCCCATCATGCCGTCGTGTTAAGGGGCATGGAGGCGCGCTCGTGATCGTCTGTCGGCGCGGAGCGCGCGCCCGGGCTTACATAACGAGGGCAGCGGTGGCATGGCCGCCCGCGTGTCCGCCGAGGGCGCAGGACCCTCTTACGCGTCAGTGTTGAACTTTAGAGGGGGTGATAGTAACAAAGAAAACATTGAGGCCCCGCCGGGGGAGGTGCCGGATGCACCTCCTATAAAACAGGACGATGAAGAAGAGGAGGGTTTTGTGCCAGTCATGTCGCATACGCGTCGTCCTGGCAAGGGGAGAAGAGATCGTGACCGCAGGGCTCCACCGAGGCCTCAAAAGACTCCTCAGGCCCATACTGAGCCCCAGCCAACCGCAGAGCAGCAGCAGCAGGCAGCAGAGAGCCAGCCGAAGAAGTTTGTGGAAGCACCCATTCCTAAAGTTAACCCATGGCAGGTGAGTGTCATAAGAATATAAACAAAACAATGTCATAACAAAAATGATGCAATAAGCTTCTAATTGTTTTGAATTGTGAAAGAAAACCTTATTTATATATGTTAGTTAGTCACACTGTTTTCTTAATACGGCTATTAGAATGTTTCATTGCCTGTGCTCTTGTTCATTTCATGTTTTTTACAGGTGTAAACATCAACTATCAGTCTTAAATAGGAATGAAATTGTTATCCAGTATTGGTTATGTAAAATGATAGACGTAGTTTGCCTAGTGGCATACCAAGAACAACTGCATGCTTGTGTAAGGGTAATACACTTTAAGCTCTCAAGTCGTGCAAGAAAAAAATCATATGAAACAATCTGTATCTCAGTAGTGGGTCACTAAAACCTCTGCAATCAATAAAAGGTTTTATCATCTCAGAGTCAATAGCGTCTGATATATTCTCTGATGTAATCTTTAGGTGATCTATGTTAAATTTTGACTTTGACCAATTCCATTGACATAATTTGAATTTACCTACTGTCTTACTTAAGAGTACACTTAGACACAATAATGTTGAATTCAGAGAGTAAGAAAATGATAATTTCCAAATTTAATTATACTTATTATTAGGTCATTAACAAATGTAAGAAACATATGTAACATATATTCTTTGGTTTGTAGATTCAAACATTCCGATTAAAAATCAAAATAAATATTAAAAATAAACAACACTAATTTCAAATAGAGTTATTTGGTCAGTACTGTTTTGATATTTCCTGTTCAAGTTGTAACTACCAGATCGGTAGTACTGAAGAGAATTATGATCTGATGGTAGGATTTTTGAGGAACTTACTGTTGCATGGACGTTCTTGAGGCTACCTTCAGAAGTCTCCATTATTTCAACTTACAAGCAATTGTTGCTTTCTTATTTAAAATTTCTTAATTTTTTAGGTGTTAATAGTTTATTGAGTACACATGCACTTAGAATCATATGAAGGCCAAAAAGACAATATTATGTAAACCTTGAGGATGATTTTGTCAATTTTTACATGCAAATAGGTTGGTACCCACTCAGGGTTCTGCCTGATTCTTAAAAGCTGTGACTTAAACTGTATTGTAGAGGAGAAATACAGCGTTTAATAAGACGATGATGGTGATATTTATATGTCACAATATTTAGTTATTTCCTTTGCAAAGAGGGTAAAGAAAAAAATTTGCTAGTCTTCTTAAGAGCCTTAACCACTGGTGTCTAAGACACCAGACAATAGTTTTATAATAATATGGTAACATTGGGTGTACCCAATGTTACCCTTTTATTATAAACTCAAACTAGTACCCTGTACTATGTTAACCAAATGACTGATAAACATACTCATATAATACAAAATACATGTCATAAATTACACTCAGACCTAAAACAAATGATCACATTTATCACAAAATTATTTAACAAGCTCAAAGGACTTTAGATTTTGTATTGAAGTGTTGAATGTTGTATTGCACAATATTCAAATAAAAACTAATTTATATTATAGTCTATTAATGGTTGGCACATTTAAAATGTTAAAAATTCATCCATATTAGTATACTTTTTGTAAAATTTGGTGGATTATTGTTATTTTACAAGTTACATTTTAGTTACAAATTGTGGGTAGTTTGAATTTGTAAAATTATTTTTTAAATCGGTTAAATTTAGAGTTTTGTAAGTTTCAAAAATTGTAGTACCATTTTCTTATGTAACTGATCCATAAGGTTGTTGACTTGTGCAGGCCTTAAATGTAGCACTGTAATCAAAAAAAAACAAATCACACAAAAATAAGATACTGTATAAATAAAAATACCCTCATCTCAAAAATCCTTTCAACATTTTATTTTTAATGTCCTATTGGCTGTTTTCCCTAGAGGGTGTCCACAGCAAGTTACGGCTTTGATAAACAAACCTTTTTAACCCATTAAATATTAAAGAAGTCATGTGGGAGAATTACATACCTTATCTTCATACAAATCAATAAATTAAGTGTATACCTACATTTGGTACATTTACCAATAAAAAACTTATTAGTAAATCTTACAGGCCTATTTGAGTAGTGGTTAGTTTATTTTGTGATGAGCATAACCTTTTGTTCTGTGTCTGATGTGAATAATCTATAAAATGTATATATATTTGTTTCTGCTTAGTTTGGTTTCCAATGACTTATTCATTCAAATGTAAAATATTAGTCGAAATTAGTATATGAGGACTAAACTCCCATACACATATTATAAATGGGAAAGTGTGTCCCTCTGTTTTTTACCTCTTCATGCTTCTTGAGGAAAGACTTACATACATTTATGCAGGCGGAGCCACAGGCAAAAACTAGTGGTAACATAAAGTAATATTATATTGTATATTTATCTATGATGCATAAAGTACTGATATAAAGCCATTATCGCTAAATGAAGGTTACTATAAGAAATAAAAAAATAATATTGTGCACAATAGTCATCATTAGCTTATCTTAACAACACATAGTCTTTTTCTTTGTGGCAGTTAACGAACAGACACAATGGGACCTTATGGGAACCTTTTGGTGCAATGTCACTCGTAGAAGCCCATGAACGCCCCAGGAGGCTTCTGTGCTTCTGAGAGGAGCTTGGTTAGCTCACCTAGCCAACCTTTCCTTGACGCATAAAGTACCATTCTCAAGTCTAAAATGCAGGAATCCTCAGCCTTATAATTTAAACTACTTTTAACTACAGGTTCGAATTGAAAAAATTGTTAACTAATGGATAGCCCATTAATCAAGGAAGGTTAAAGTCTATAGAACATCATGCTAGGACCAACAGGAGCCGAACAACAATTAAATTTTTTTCTAAAATGGGAAAAATTTATTCCTTTAAAGAGAAACAAACAAAGTTGCGCGGGTCAGCTTGTAAGAATATATATCTGGTTATTAATATATTTGTGATAACTCAGTGGCCTGATCAATGAACATTACAATAGGTTATTTAACTGAGAAAAAGAATGATGAAACATAATTATCGTTTATTTGTTATCTTGACTTGAGCGTTTGGGATTAAAGTCAGTTTTCAGAGTCAATTTTCATCCCAGGACACACGTTATAGAACCGTTCGCCACAACGGGGTACAACGCACATGTATTTCTTGAATTCCAGCTGTACATCGTTGGAGGCAGTGACTACCGAAATGGATTTACAGTTGGAGTGACTACTGCTTAGTCACTACAACGGTTAATCCATTTTTTACTTTTTTAATTCACTGTTCTTATTTTTATAACATCAACAGCCTTTAATAGTCCACTGCTGAACATAGGTCTTTCTTTAGATAGAGAGGTTTCTTTATTTTTATACGATCTAGAAATTATTCAGTGTTCCCAATTGCAAAAAATATAATCTTAGTCATTTAGATTGAATAGAAATATTTTTTATTATTAGCAACTTATCGTATATAGGCTTTTTTTACGAATTTTTCTGCAACCCTATCCTATATATACCCCTATCCTATATCCTATCTCTATGTTGTTGTGTTAACGATCAAGTTGTTTCTCACACAGTATATTCTTAGAGCCAGGATTACGTTCCTCGTCTAATAAGCCATCGTCTTTTTTCCATTAGTCTCTCCTGGTTCTTCTCTACATACATCCTCGCCAGATGCCATGTACTGGTTTGCCATCGTGATGTTATAGGTTCCACTTTTCCTTCCACTTATTTATCTATAATATTATTATTATTATTATTATTATTCTATAATGCACTAGCAGATCACAGATCTGATGCGTACATATCACTGCACTTGTGTTCATTTTGTTGTTTTTAAATGTTTGTCTAGTCTGTTTTTAAAAATGTTCACTGATCCAGCACTAATTACACTTTCCGGTAAACTATTCCAAATGGTCACCACGCGATTTGGTAGAAAGTGTCTTCTAGGGTTGCTAACAGACGGAGACCTGGTGAGCTTCAATGGGTGTCCTCTCAATCGGGTATTAGAATTCATAGTGTAGAGGTTTCCGATGTCTTTCACATTGTAGTGTCCAGTTAATATTTTATATGTTTCAATCAGATCTCCCCGTTGCCTGCGTTGCTCCAGTGTAGTTAAGTCTAGTTCAATAAGGCGTTCCTCATATGACATGTTTTTTAATGATATAACCATTTTTGTAGCCCTCCGTTGTACTTTTTCGAGCATTTCTATGTCTTTCTTGGAGTATGGATTCCATATTTGAAATGTGTACTCCAAGAGCGGGCGGATGTATGTTTTGTAGATCTTTATAAACAAGTCTTTTGTTATGATGTTAAATGCTTTTCTAACCACATACAGCATGGAATTAGCCCTCTTCACTATATTTGTGATATGTACATCCCACTTGAGGTTATGTGTGATGGTTACCCCTAGATCTCTTTGGGAACTTACAGGTTTCAGTTCCACCGAACCAATCTTGTATTTCAACTTCGGGTTGTTGTGGCCCATATGTAAAACGGTACACTTCGTTGCATTTAATGGGATGAGCCAGTCCTGTGTCCACTGTACAATACGATCCAAGTCCTGTTGTATAACGCTATGACTGATGAGGGGGTTTCCCATTATTTTGGTATCGTCAGCAAACACAGATAAGTCTGATCTAATAGCACTTCTGAGGTCAGTAATGAAGATACCAAATAAGACAGGTCCGATCACAGATCCCTGAGGCACTCCGCTGTGTACATTGTGAGCTTCTGATAGTGTGTCCCCCAATCTTACTCTGAACTGTCTATTAGTTAAGAAGTCAGATATCCATTGAAGAAGCTGTCCACGTATTCCGATGTGCTCGAGCTTTGCTGTCAATCTTTTAATGGGAACCCTATCGAAAGCCTTTTCATAGTCCAGGTAAATAGTATCAGTTGGTTGATTGTTATTCCAGTTGCACGTCCACTTGTCAAGGCAAGTAAGAAGATTTGTGACAGTGGATCTCTTAGGAACAAACCCATGTTGTTCTTCCATAATAACATTCTCCATACTGATAAATTGCCTTATTTCTGCTGCTATTATTTTTTCCATAGTTTTACAA